GTGAACATTAATGTGTACTTCTTGACCTTTTACCAATCAAGACCTTGATGTTGTGCAATGCATATCATAAGCACATAGTCTCACAATGGTTATTATTGGTGCCAAATTGTCTAAAATTTTCCATAAAGTAAAAAGTCATGGAAATCATATAACCTTGACCATGGGGGAAGCAACCTGGATGTTGTGATCTACAGATTGTGTGATAGTGGGGATCATTTGTGCCAAGTAATTCCGCTACGCGGAAAAAGATGAACAAGTAGCAGGTTTCATAAAGTTGTTGTTGTCTTGGGCGTTAATTGAAAACTCTTGACTTTTTGTCCGCGCATGCGCCGTGCGTCGAGAAATCCAAAGTTCTGAATCTCCAAAAAGTATGTAAAAGGCTTTTTTTGCGGCAAATTCCCACAGTAAATTTCTCAAACATGCAGTAATAATTAATCCAGACTAGCAATACCATCTCCCCTCCTCAAACAAACTAAGATCCCTATTTCTGAGTCGCGCCAAATTTTCGCTGGGGAAAATCGCTAGTTTACTTCCGGATTACTAATAATTCCTTCAAAGTTGACTTAAATTTGTAAAGTAGCTGCCAACAATAAAGTGTTCTGCTTACTTGAAACACTTTCCTTACAAGGATGAGCAGAATTTATGGATCCTTCGAATGAATAAGCATCCAATACAAATTGAGGCAGGTTATCGATCCACTTCTGGCCTCAATCCCGTTCCTTCCGGTTACGTTATTTTCCGGAATAGATAAAGTCGGGCTCCCACATCTCACCACATTATATACAGGTGCTGTGTTTGATTTTTTACTAGAACATTTTTTCACTGACGAATATCAGGAATTCAATGTCTTTATCGGAAATCGGGATAAGGGTCAAAATATAGGGATTTTTTATAACCCCGCCGGGATATCACATGTATGCCAGACAGCAGACTGTTAGATCAATATTGATTACATTTATTGGTGTATTACGAAGTTACTGTACAATTTTATATACATGTAGAAAAAAAAAACCAAAATTAATGATTTAAATGTTTAAAAGTATTAGATACAACTCATCTTATTTGATTACCAAAATTATATTTAATGTCCTCCAGTAGTTCAACTATGCAGTTAGATTTTATTTTACACTGTACATTTGTTTTTAGTTGGTCTTTTATAATGGTGAATTACCAATGCAAACAGGGCGTTTCGGCCCCAAACCAAATAGGCCCCTGTGCAAAAATCGGCCCCTAGACGTTTCGGCCTTTTCGTGAGACGTTTCAGCCCTTTTTTATTCCAGTTTTATTAATTTAAAAGTATTTAAGGAATTTTTATACTTATAATCGTTAGATGTTTTAGTATATTGATTGATTGATTGATGGCACACAAACAGTTAAGACACTTTAAATAATCCTTAATATATCTTTCGACCTCTTAATTTTACTATTTAGATAAATGCTTTTTTCAAGGTGTAACAATAAATAAAGCCACTTAATCATTGATTTATAAGACAGTTGACAAACTGCAAAAACTTTTTGATTAACAAAGTTAATTACAATTAAATCCCAAAAATCATTATCTTTTGATCTCTATTTATCATTGAACAGCTATTTAACTATTTAGATATATTATGTTGTTGTTTTTATCAAATCAATTATTTATAGCTTATTGCTAATTAGCGGCTAGTAATATCAAATATTTTTAACTTATGATTTGTTATAATTCCTTGATAATATTTTGAATTTTTATTGTTACGTTCTAATTGAAAATCTGTCACTTTTATTGTAAAAAATTGTTATTTATAAACAAAATTCTGTTTACAATGTATTGTTTGTAAGTACAAGTATAATTTTAAACTGTTATGTGTTGTTTTGCATTGCTGAAACTCGTCACTTACTATTAATTTAATAGTTGTTGATAATAAATGTTTTTTTCATGTATTCAAATGTTCTGTGTCTTGCTTTTTAATCATTCAAATTTAAAAAAATGCTTGTTGATAATAAGCAGATACAAATCTGTTTCAGTGTTCGTGTACTATGCTTTGTTTAATAAAGTTTATGTTCTGTTCTGTTTGTTTAGATTACTAAGTTTAGATATTTTATCCTCATTTAATTACAAATAAAGGTCATAATTTACCAATGATGGGTAATGAATAATATGTATCACACTCAAACTCCGCGCACCGTGCACGCTACGGCCAGTAACCACTGCCTTCACACAAACCACGTGATGATGGTCTAATCACATGATTGTGTAAAAATGGCGTATACGCCAATGAAATCGTTGAAAAAATGTTTTATCTGTAATAAACAGCGACATTAAAACTTGAACTCTGGTCTCAAATATGTCGATATGATTGAAAAAAAAAAAGATTTTTGTAAAGCGTAGAGTCGAAATTAATAGCGACCTCGACGAGCTGGCCCGAAGGGCATGCTCGAAAAGCGAGCTTTAAGGGAACGCGAGAACCTGCTTATTGATGGTTTTGACGGCTTGATTTATAAGACAGTTGACAAACTGCAAAAACTTTTTGATTAACAAAGTTAATTACAATTAAATCCCAAAAATCATTATCTTTTGATCTCTATTTATCATTGAACAGCTATTTAACTATTTAGATATATTATGTTGTTGTTTTTATCAAATCAATTATTTATAGCTTATTGCTAATTAGCGGCTAGTAATATCAAATAGTTTTAACTTATGATTTGTTATAATTCCTTGATAATATTTTGAATTATTATTGTTACGTTCTAATTGAAAATCTGTCACTTTTATTGTAAAAATTCTTATTTATAAAAAAATCTGTTTACAATGTATTGTTTGTAAGTTCTGTGCATTTTTTTCTTTTTCTTTTTTTCCGGTCATTTTATCCTTTCCGGTATTTAGGGTGGGGGGGATCCGGGAGAGTATTAGATAATATAGGGAAAAGGAATAAACTATATTTGTGTTGATTATTGTCGTAATGAAAGGCGATTAAACGATAACTTTTTATTTTTTATTGTATGTAATGAATGGTAAATTAATTTAACTTAAGATTTAAATATAGTTAGAGCTATTTATTAACAAACTTAAAATGCGGAAATCGCAATACTTGTAATTATATGTCTAATTGAAAAAATCAAAGTTTTTGTTAATATAATATTTGGCTAAATTTCATGTTCATGTATTTAAATATTATTTTTAGAAAGGATCATAAGATACACTTAACATAATTGATAACAAAAAAGATTTTTTCCATCAAAATTGATTTCAAAGTGCTGTAACTTCTTAACGGATTGAGATAGAGTCAAATGCTTTTTAGCGTTGGTTACACGTTACCTAATGATCGATCTGGGGTCATTTTAGCCTTTTTAGCTAAATTTTCTTGGTGATGAGGGGGACTGCCATCCCCTTCAAACCCCCCAAACAGAAGGGGGCACATCCCCCTTCTGGCAACCCCCTGATGTATCTTTTGGTCGGGGCGCACCGAAAAAGTGGTCACTTTATTAAACAACATTGTGTTTGGGGGCCTAAATAAGGCATTTTTTCACCATTTGAGACAACAAAAAAAAGGGGGGTGAAAACGGCGTTTAAAGGCGTGTATATCGCGTAATGGGTTAATACGATCCCGGCTTTTCTGAATATGACATGTTAGTGGTTAATTCCCGGGATCGCTATATATATCTAATACCATCCCGGCGTCTTTTCTGATTGTGATATGTTAGATCAAAGATATTCTCTTTAAAATAGTGTACACGTATCGTAATGATTTCATAGCGAAAATGATAATCTGTCCTATTGAAACGTTTGTTTTAATATCTTTAAAGGTACAATATACTCATATATTGATAGGAGTAATATTATTTGAACATTACAAGTCTGATTCTGTTTGACAAGTGAAAATTACAATAAAAATTTATATCTAGGTAGGGAAATCAATATCCAGAGATTTATATAAAAAGTCTTCTTGTTTGGTCAAGGTCAACAGGCCATATAGTAAATGTGCATAGACATAGGGACTTCATTCTATCTGTTTACATGCATCTGCATATATACTCATATTCCTCTTTGTTAAACTGACAGAACTCGCTTTCATAACTTTATATGTCACTTTTATTTTGATGTTGGCTGAAGTCTCTTCAGCTAACAGACCTGTCATTTTTACATTTAAACACACTCCTGGAAAAAAATTACGAAGCGAGTCGCTACTTGCTTTTTGTGAAAACTTTCGTCCAAAGTACCGTAGGAACCATAATAAAAAGGGGGAACCAGAATAAACGGAAGCAGTGTATAAAATACCGAATGGCAATTTTAAAACGGAAAATGTAAAATAAAAGTGAAGGGTTATTTAAAACTATCTTACGATAAAAGAAACTCGAGCTCGCTTTGAGGCTTTGCCTTTTTCATATTAATTACTTGAATGATTTCTCTTTCGAGAGGGGTCATTGTTTTGGAAATAAACGGTGCGTGATTAAAATTTTTAAAACTTATTTTCATAATAGAATTTATGTTTCCAAAATTATTTTTTATTTTAGTTCACATCTAACACCTATCGATCTTGAAACATTAGCAAAACCGTGTTTACTTTTTGAAATAAATATAAAAACTGAAAAAATCTTTGCAGAGATCTAATCCTGTAAGGGGAGATCACTGCGTAGGAGATCGTTATCACACTATGTCAAAAGTACCTAAATTATAAAAAGACTGAGCGATATATTCTGATAAATATTTATTGAAATCTCTGTCGGTCATTTGTATTACTGATTAATTTTTCATAGTAAAAGAGAAAATTAAAAATAATATTGGGAATTTTTTAAGTTATTTACATTTAGAATTACCTGTTTACTGACCAAGAGTCAAGATAAGGAAGTCTTTCAAGGTAAACAAAAAATTAAAAGTCATGGACAAATCCTCAAGTTCTTACCAGAGAAACACTTATGTTTAAGAAGAAAGATAATTTAAATGTGAAAAATCTTATGTAAATCATTGTCTATGTTTCTAACAATACTGTAAACTAGAAGAATTTTTATCGATATTTCAGGTGAATATGGTTCAGCATGTAATGTCACCAGTGACTGTAAGGTTGGGTTTAACTTTGCCTGTTTATACAAGACGTGTTCCTGTAGTAGCTCCTTCTACTACAACCAAGGTCTATGTAAGAAAAGTAAGTTGATATTTTTATCTTGTGTAAGGTTATAATCAATGTGTTTCAGCCAAATTTTTTGAAGTGTTTTCATTTAAGTGTCCATTGTCATTGTAAGAACTATCCTCATCTTGTGTAGTATTATCAAGGTGTTTCAACCAAGGTATGTACAAGAAATATTATCATCTTTGTGTTGTGTTATCAAGGTGTTTCAACCAAGGTCAGTGCACAGGAGATTGACATTCTATCAATAATTGAAAAATATAAGCAAATAATTAAGAAATAACGGCAAATGTACCCCTCTATACTATAAATAAACATGTTTATTCCCTGCGGTCTGGAGACCGCAGGGTATTGGTACGCGTTTAACTTTTGAGGCATGGAGGAGCACGTGACCTGTTTTCGGTACATGGAGGAGCATGTGATCTGTAAACCGTGCATGAATGGTTAATTGATCTTTTCGTAAAACTTAGCTAAATACCGTTTGACGGTAAGTCACGGATTTACCTGTAGGGAATTAGTCCGAATTACAGCTTATCAAGTACAAAAAACTATTACGTGACATTTCTAATTTTCTATAATTATTTTACCGTTTAAGGTGGAAAAATTTGAATGATGTGTTTGAAAATTATCAATATTTCTTTAATATCTATCTCAAATTTTACAAACAATGAATTGTTTATACTGCAAATTTACAGAATTAAAATATTCGTAGGGGCATCTGCCATAATAAATAGAGATATTTTCTGCGTTAACTTGTGTGTTGACTTTATTTATTTTTTGCTCGGAATTATTCATAAAATGGTAGGCCTATTTAATCATTTTCTTAAAAAAGAAATAATTGTTTTATGTTCGACCTTCTCCGGTCTTCAACGGTCACCAGTTTCCAAAGACCTTCTTCTATATTGATCGTTTATTCAATTGTCAACTATATTTCTGATACAAACGTTTATTTACCCCCCCCCCCCCCAAAAAAAAAAAAAAAAAATGTTGAAAATAGTTAAATGAAATATCTTTATATCATTAAAATGTTCACCGCAGGAAACCATTTTACTTGTTTATATTAACAAGTGAATCAAGGGTATCAAACATCAGGATGGTTTATAACTGTTTTATTCTAGGATCTACCGGTTTTGGTCTTTCAAGATCTTCATCAGGATATATTTCAAAGAAAAATGATTACTGAAGTACTAAAAATGTGGATACTAAATGTGACGTATGTTACTATAAATAGACTTATAAATGAGTTTATCTGGGCTAAGTGCCAAGTTTTTCTGGGTTTATTTATAGTATAGAGTATAGTATAGAGGGGTATATTTGCCGTTATTTTTTAATTATTTGCTTATAGAATGTCAAATTCCTGTGGTCAGTGTAAGAACAATGTTCATTATGTGTGGTGTTAACAATGTGCCTCCTTCATTTATGGTTGTTATAACATTGATTGTGTTACATGTAAGAAAATTAACATATTTCATTGTGATAATACAGATATTTAAAATAGAGTGTCATGGTGCAGTAAACCCAACGTGTAGCCAAAAGGTGATTATCAAGATGACACAGGTGATTTTGCAGGTTTTCAACATATTTAAGCCACAGAGCTATTTATAAATGAAAAGGAAGCTATGACGTCATGCACGTAAAATCTCTATCAAGGACTTATTATCACGCAAGTTCACATTTTTGCGTGATTTTCTGAGACCACGTTTGACACAAAAAAAATATTGATACATATACATATATATGTATACATGTATATATGCCATCAAAATTTTTGTGTTAATCAAAGGAAGTTGCAAAAATGTATAAAGACCAAAAATATGTAAATTATTATCTGTAATGTATGAAAATGTTAACAAATTTGGTAAAACAAGATTGCGAAAATTGATCAACTCTATGGGTCATTGAATCTCGCGCAAAGGATTGTAGGTCAGGATTTGAAAATTTTCTAACTTCTAATCCCTGTAATATAAATTTCTGTTTAAGCGAGCGTATTGCTATATTCTATAATAGAATCTTACAATTGTTGTTATTCTAGAAATATTATAAAGTTTCTATTCTGTAGTCTGTAAGCTAACATTATGTTATTATTTATCAGTCTGCCATGGGTCATCTGAAGGCTTGGTAAGGCACCAGTATCATCAGTATGCACATTATAAACTCCGCTACACAAATTGCTCATACGTGGATGGAAGTCTTGAAATAACCAGTCTCAAGGGCAACTACGACCTTGGATTTCTTAAAGATATTGAGGAAATTGAAGGGTATCTTCTGGTCGTGAATGTGTACTCGAACTATCTTAATCTCACGAAATTGAGAATCATTCGTGGTAAAGAGTTGTATCACTCAAAAGGTGATGAATATAGTATGTACATTGCTTTGAACCATAATCCGAAAAATTTATCGGAAGGCTTGTTGGAACTACAATTCAAGAGTCTGACAGAAATTGTTCAAGGTAAAGTGTACTTTCAGAACAACAACCTGCTATGCTACCTGAACACAATTTTATGGGCTGATATTAATCCAAACACAAAGCCGCCAACCGAATTTGTGTACGACCTTCAAGGTTACAAGCGGACATGTAAGTAATTGTTTCTTTTTAATATAGTATAGTAAGTCATCTTACTTAAACACGTAACCCCAAAATAAAGTTCAAAATAACATTTAGTTCTTAATTGCATTGAAACGTTATTTTCAAGGAAACTGTTCGTGTTAATTTCCATAGCAGTTGGTCAGTTAATATGAAGAATACAATCATTTAAATAGTTCATCAATATTTCAGTTCATTTGTCTAGAAATAATACATGCTGATAGGATATGTGCTAGAAAATGACTTAGAAACTGTGACCCCAAAAAGTTAATGTCTCAAGGTTATAATTTTTTTCTGAGTTCTCAAATCTCATGATTGTCGTTGGTCAGTGTACATTCTTTGGCAATTTTTGACCAATCAAATGCCTGAGTTTGAGCTTTGACAATTTCTTCATTACATCGGACCAATGTCTTGCCCATGACAGCAGTGTAGCTATGACAGCAGTGTAGCAATGACACCAGTGTTACCATGACACTAGTGTAGCCATGACAGCAATGTAGAGCAATGGCCAACAACCATTCTTGCAGTTCGACAACAATGTACATTGTTATTTATTTTTACATTGAAAATTTATTTTTAAAAAGTTCAATATAAGGTGTAGTTTTCTATTAGTGGTTTAACATGATTTAATATGTGGCCATATAATATTGTAGGTCCACCATGTCCAGCAAGTTGTTATAACTCAGACACCAGACACTCACATTGTTGGGGAAGCTCGGATGATATGTGCCAAAAAGGTAAGAAGTTTTGTCTTGATTCCTTCTATTAATTCTTTTATAATATCAGATACGAACGCAAAATGAAATTTCTAGTAATAGATCAATTGATAGTGTGATCACCCCAAACATTGTTACATGGTGGTGGCATTGGAAGTTTTCACTCTGGATCACAGCAGTTAGCCACATTGAATTTACCAGTTTAGTCACCGCAATCGTTCCTGTGCAGGCTGTCAAGCCATTTACCAATAGTAGTTGCCGGCTTACTGTGGTTACCTGAAATGATCATCAGGACTTCATATTTTAGTTTTATGTTCCTATGGTAACAATAGGGAAGCAGTGAATTCTCTTTGTTACTTTTTAATTTTTAGGATTTGAAGGGGCTTGGCTAATACGAGTATGGTTTTATGTGGCTTATAAAATGGTATTAAAGCTGCACGCCTCCAGATGAGCCAAAATATTTCAAGAAATGCAATCTTTAGAAAAATGCATTAAGATCTTAAGAAAAGTAAAAAGATTCAATATTTAATTTATTATTTACATGTAATGTGCGATAAATGACTGATTTTACAGTATCAACCGCTATAATTCTACTGCGTTACTAACGCAGTAAGAGATAATTAAGTATATTTTGACCTCTTTGGTAATTTATGTGGATTGTAAGTGCCGTTTGCAATGTGTAAATTACTTTCTTTGTTCATTTCACAGTATTTTACTTTTAAATACATTTTCAAAATTTTCATGAAAATTAGCATGAATCTGGAGGCATGCTGCTTTAAACCTAAATGTAAGAATCTATGTTTTCACAGATGTATGAATGTTTACTTAAATATTTACAGTAAATTACATCAAGTACGTATGTAGCCAGTCATGTGATGGTCGATGTTTTGGAAAAGAAAAGAACCAGTGTTGTCATACAGAATGTGCCGCTGGTTGTAGCGGGCCTCGCAGAGTTGACTGTCTGGTAAGTCTCAGTGAACATAAGAACATATTGTGTGTATAATTACATTGTTACGGAATTCATGTAACAGAATTCATGTGTAATTATATTGTAACAGAATTCATATATAATTATATTGTATTCTAACACGACCCGCATTTTTCCCTATTGAACATAGAAGAACCAAAAGTGTTTGTTATTATGCAATAAAACCACTGTTGACGTTCTATATTTAGACATGTGACGTAATCATAATATAGATATGCCATAACCACTAAAATGCAACGCGCTGAAATAAGTACGGAAACAAATCGGGCGCAATTTAGCTTAATTTTAGGTATGGCAGCATTTATTTGTTAATGTCGTGTTAGAAACGAAAGAATATATCCAAATGGGTGATTTTATCGCTTGATAATTTGAATCACTGTTTGTCTTCCGGTTGCGCAACATAATATCACTCGGGCTACGTCCACGTGATATAATTCCTCGCATCCGAACTCCAAACAATGATTTTATACGGTATTAAGTGTGGTGCTCAAACACTTGTTAAAAGCTGCATGCCTCCAGATGAGTCAAAATAATTTAAATAAAATCAAACTTGAGAAATATATATTACGATTTTAGGAAAAGCAAAATGATTCAAGATTTAAGTAATATTTTACATGCTCTGTGCGGTTAACGACTGATTTTTCAGTATTTACAACTATATTTCTACTGCGTTACTACTAGGTCTATGAATGCATATTTTGACCACTTTTTGGAAATTTACGTGTGTTGTAGGTTTCATTGTTAATGCGTAAATTGCTTCCTTTTGGTTATTTCACAATATTCAATATAGAATTCAAATACATTTTATTTCTCATGAAAATTAGCGTGAATCTGGAGGCGTGCTGCTTTAAGTCTCGCTCCATTTTTCAGTTCGAGGAGATTTAGAGATTAATTTTGTATATTTCAGGCTTGCAAAAATTTCTACAATGATGGAGAATGTCTTCCGTCTTGCCCACAAATAAAATTTTATGATCAACGGTGGGTAGAGAATCTGAATGGAAGATACTCGTTTGGTTCACTCTGTGTCAAGGACTGTCCAAGTAAGTTATATCATTAGCTCGACTTTTTTTAAGAAATAATTAGCTCGACTTTTTTTTTTTTTTTTTGAAAAAAAAAGTAGATATATTGTTTAAGATCTAGTCCTGGCGGCGTTGCCTTGCCTTTGCCGTCCGCAGACTTGTACTTTAATCATAACTTTAAGTTAACATTAGTTCTTGGTGTATTGTCTTCATACTTGGCCACAACAATCCTTGGGACAAGACCTTTCAGTAGACTATAATAACCTTGACCTTCATCCATAAATGGCCTTTACCTTCAGGGTCCAAATTTTGCTTGTTCTTGCTCTTATTGGCTGTAACTTTGTTATTTTTGAATGGATTGTCTTCAAACTTAAACATGATAATCTTCAAGCTCAAGGATAGCCCTTAAAATAACTAGAAAGACCTTGACCTTTACTCATAAATGACCTTGATTTTGAAGGTCAAATTATTGAAATTTTTATTTTTTTTTGCTATTGACAGTTTACCGTTTATATATACACACACTAAACGGGGCACGGAAAGTATGTATAACGGGGCTTAAAGTGCCCCGTGTATAAAATATACCCCACAGAAAAGGTCTGAGATTGACAAAAGCCCAAGGCCTAAAAACCCATATGTGGTACACTGTCTTTCTATATATATGTAAATTAAATTTATAAAAAGGAAACGTTAAGACTTGTTCAAGCGTTTCTTTTTTTGCTTTAAGAAAAAGGAAAAAGTCGAGCGTTACCCCTGCCCGGTGGTGTCTCTAATATACTAGTGGTAGTGATACAGGTTAAAGTGACATATAACATAAACTGAAAAAATGAAATATGTTGATTAAATTGTCAACAGAGTAATGAATTTTAATTTTGTATTTTTTTACATGTGAAATTTGCGAAAATTTGCCTTTATATTATACATATAATAATTCATTTTTTTCTATATAACATAATTATGTTATTATGATTTCTTTCACTTTTATGTTATATACATGTTAGGAATAGAAGCTAAGGAGACTTTAAACTACAGAGAAACTACATGTATATAAGTTTTCTTTCGTTCTAATCCCTTTCAATAATATGTAATAATTTCGTACATATAAAATATATAATATAATGAAATTATGAAATAAATATGCTGAAACTTATGAGATTTTAGCCTCATTAAATAAGGATATCTCATACAGTGTTACTAAGACTTTGTAGAGAGATATATACAAGATAATTCCTGGTAAAGTAAATTTGCATCAATAATGTGATGCTCTTTATTTTGTTGTTCAATATGCCTTATTAGTCGAGTTTTGCAAAATATAATCAAATCTGCTTATAGAGAAAGATTGTTTTTATAAAATCAATTGATCCTTCTTTCTTGTGAACACTTAACGTAAGGACAACAACCTCTCAAATTATCAGTGCAAATCTTTTTTTATCAATCCGAGTAAAAATCTGGATAAAATCCCTTGGAAGCATTATATAAACATCAAATTTACATGAAAATTAATTGAAGATTCGGTTTGATTGAGTCTGTACAGAGGGATAATGAAAAAGTGCAACATCCCTCACACCACTAGCACTGGCTTGAGGGGTACTTAAATTTCAGAAGTCTTTTATCATCAAATATTGTTTTGTTTTAACTGGCTGTTATGCTGCTGGTATTTGGCAAAAGTCCCCTCACTGCAACTAATATTATTTCCCATTAAATTTGGCAAAAACTTTTCTTTCAAATAAAAGGAAAAGCAAATTCCAGTTGCAACATTCAGTACTCAAGAAGTTATTTTTAGCCATTTTTAAAAAGGAAATGTTTAAAGAAATTTGGTGTATTTATAGATTATTTGGTGAAGGATGGGGATGGCTGTGTGATCAAATGCCCTGAAGGAAAATATGCGAACAAATCAACCAATGTCTGCGAGGATTGTGAGGGGCCGTGTCCAAAAAGTATGTAGACATAGATGATATGTTTCTTGCATGATACTGTTTAATAACCTATAGGCAATACAATGTAGTCTTGGAATTAATAAGTCCCCATAGAATTTGGAGATGATATGAAATATTATTTATAATACATGTAATGAGTGTTTTGGAAAAAAAAAATTAATTCTTTTGAATTATATATGTTTGATTTTAACGGGCTTTTCATTGTTAGTGTAACACTTCAAATAAAATGCATTGCGATTATTAATTGCCATGAATTTTGTATAGAATTTTTTTTTATAGAATAATGACATTATTTGTTTGAATATTTTCAGTATGTGAAGGAGTGCCAGAATCCGGGTTTCTACACAGTAAGAACATAGAAAACTTCAGGGGCTGCACAGTGGTTGAAGGAAACTTAAAGATTCTAAAAGTTTCTTTTATTGGGTATGCAAAACAAACGTATTATTTATTACTATATGCTTTTACGGTTATAAAATGACTTGAAACAACGAGATAAAAGTATGGATTTTGTGTGACAAATGATAACTTTGTATTTAACATGAGAAAAGAATAACTTTTTGGTGAAAATATTTGCCCATCAAGACAAGGTGATTTCAATATCTAGGTTACACTAGGATCATCAAGACATAGGGGTTTTAGGTCAAGTCACATTGGGATGGAGGCAGGGGGCGTCCGTGGCCAAGTGGTTAAGGTCGTTGAATTCAAACCACTTGCCCCTCACCACTGTGAGTTCAAATTATGACAAGGACTTTGAATTGCAGTCTCGAGATTATGCACATTTTTTTTCTTCCATTGTAGAAAAATTCTGGTTGCTATGGCAACAAATATACTGAATTTCAAGATTTCTGATTCTAGTTTTTAGCTTTTTCACTATAACATCTTTATTTCTTAAGGTATTTACTTCAAACTTTAAATATTAGTTTCTGATCATCAACCACATCATATGTGACAAGGTTTACAGCTCTAGCACAAAAATTATCAGACTTACCTCCCTTGAACTTAGATTTTCATGAAAAAAGCTGGTTTTTTCAATAGCTTCTTTATATCTTAATGTATCTGTTTCAAACTTCATATGTATGTTTCTTTTTCTAACTCAACTATACTTTAGCAAGACTATTTTCAGAATTATGCCCCCCCCCTGAACTTTTTCGAGAGTATTTTTAACTCCAACTTCTTTATTCCTTATAGGATTTACTTCAAATTCCCACATCATAATAATATGACAAGGTTTATAAATGTAGAATCCATATTTTCAGAATAATCTCCTCCTTAAACTTTTGAGTATTCCATAATCATTGTTTAATTTTCTTATTTCTTCATGGATTGACTTATTTACTTTTTTATATATATTTTTTTAATGGTATATTTGAAAATTGTTATTGTGTCCCCACTTTAGGGGAGGGGGGCATTTAGTTTTACCCTTATCCATCCGTCCGTCCTTCCGTCCGTCCGTTCTCTTTTGTGTCGCACATAACTCAAAAAGTATTTGACATAGAATCATGAAACTAAACAGGAATGTTTATCAGCATGTGCAGTTGTGCACCACCTAAGTATTTTCGTGTGGATTATTCCCGTATTTTTAGAGTTATTGCCATTGACTAAGTAAAAATTTGCAATTTTCAACTTGTGTCGCACATAACTCAAAAAGTGTTTGACCTAGAGTCATGAAACTTAACAGGAATGTTGTTCAGCATGTGTTGTTGTTTACCTGGGTATTTATTTTTAATTGGTATCATCATGTATGACAATGTTCATAAATATAGCATCTTTATTTCAAGAGTTATTTCCTCTGTTATATTAAGGTAACAGGAATGTTTAAAAAAAATTACTTTAGAGTCTTCTTCAGTCTGTTTATCTGTTCATAAAAATGTTTCCTGAGATCCCTTTTTAAGATTTTTTCCAACTTTACTTAAAATAGAGAAAAGTTTAAACATTTGTTATAAATTGACCCTTTTGATTATCTTTTGTATAAACATAATTTTCTTACTTGGCAGGGAAACTTAACACATTTCTATGATATAGACAAACTTAGCACTCAAAAGATTTAAGTACATTCATGTCGTTCATTCATTCAATGGTATAATTGAATGGCCAATCGTCAATCAGAATGTTGCTGGGGCTCTTACCGATAGGGGACTTATGGTTTGCTTGCAATACTATAATAATTGCTTGTTTTACTAACACTTCTTCACCTTCAGGATAGTCAGCAAAATAAATGTATCGCTGGTAGTTAGTTGATTGCTAAAAACATATGTTCACATTTTACGAAAAGTTTAGTTTTGATTTTCTTGAATTTAAGGGATCCGCATCAAGGTACACAAAACTTTAGTTTTGGTTTTCTTATATTTAAGGGATCCGATCAAGGTACACAACAATTTAGTTATGATTTTCTTATATTTAAGGGATCAGCATCAAGGTACACAAATGTAAAGATTTGATTTTTTATATTTAAGGGATTCGAATCAAGGAACGCAAAAGTTAGGATTGGATTTTCTTGTATTTAAGGGATCAGAATCAAGGTACACAAATGTAAAGATTTTATTTTCTTGTATTTTAAGCCATCCAACTATAGAAGGGATAAAGGTTGAAGATCTACAAATACTGAAGGACATTAAGGAGATTACAGGCTTCCTGTATATATATGGGGCCCCAGTTAAAGATCTTTCCTTTCTTTCAGGCCTTGAGACAATCTATGGACGTAAACACTCGTAAGTATTGGATGTCCATTATAATGTTTTAAGTTATTTTATTTCTTCAGTTAATATTAGGTGTTTTTTTTACTTTGCACATTTAGTTTGTTGAAAAGATTTTTTGCATGAAGGAAGGAAGGATAAGGGTCAGTCTGAGTTAAAGCTCGCATGTTCTGTTATACAGAACAAATTGAAATGATCATATAATTTATCAGTTTATCTTACATATACATTATAAGAGGGTTGCCATGTTTTGTAATTTGATTCTTATTTAACTTGCATGTAGAATTAAAAAAAGAAAACTCATGTTTAAAATCAGTATCTTCAAGCATAATCTAAGACATTATTACTTTAATTAATTAGTCATTATGAATAATATATGATTTCTTTTGTAATTAATAGGTAAATAACACATCATAAAAATGTACATAACACTTAATTAAGATTGGCCTACAATTGATAGAATAGATGTAAAATTGTCCAACTATTGATATAATAGATGTAAAATAGTCCTACTATTGATAGAATGGCTGTAAAATTGTCCAACTATTGATATAATAGATGTAAAATTATCCACCTATTGATAGAATAGATGTAAAATTGTCCAAATATTGATAGAATAGATGTAAAATTGTCCTACCATTGATAGAATAGATGTAAAATTGTCCTACTGTTGATAGAATAGATGTTAAATTGTCCAACTATTGATAGAATAGATGTAAAATTGTCCAATTATTGATAGAATAGATGTACAATTGTCCTACCATTGATAGAATAGATGTAAAATTGTCCTACCATTGATAGAATATATGTAAAATTGTCCTACTGTTGATAGAATAGATGTAAAATTGTCCAACTATTGATAGAATAGATGGAAAATTGTCCAATTATTGATAGAATAGATGTAAAATTGTCCTACCATTGATAGAATAGATGTAAAATTGTCCTACCATTGATAGAATAGATGTAAAATTGTCCAACTATTGATAGAATAGATGTAAAATTGTCCAACTATTGATAGAATAGATGTAAAATTGTCCTACTATTGATAGAATAGATGTAAAATTGTCCTACTATTGATAGAATAGATGTAAAATTGTCCAACTATTGATAGAATAGATGTAAAATTGTCCTACTATTGATAGAATAGATGTAAAATTGTCCAACTATTGATAGAATAGATGTAAAATTGTCCAACTATTGATAGAATGGATGTAAAATTGTGGAACTATTGGTAGAATAGTTTTAAAATTGTCCAATTATTGGTAAAATAGATGTAAAATTGTCCAACTATTGATAGAATGGATGTAAAATTGTCCTACTATTGATATAATAGATGTAAAATTGTCCTACTATTGATAGAATAGATGGAAAATTGTCCAATTTTTGATAGAATAGATGAAAAATTGTCCTACTATTGATAGAATAGATGTAAAATTGTCCTACTGTTGATAGAATAGATGTAAAATTGTTCAACTATTGATAAAATAGATGTAAAATTGTCCTATATTTATCGAATAGATGTAAAATTGTCCAATTATTGATAGAATAGATGTAAAATTGTCCTACTATTGATAGAATAGATGTAAAATTGTCCTACTGTTGATAGAATAGATGTAGAATTATACTACTATTGATAAAAGAGTATTGTCCAACTATTGATAGAATGGATCTAAAATTGTCCTTCTGTTGATATAATAGATGTTAAATTTAATTACATCAGTAATTAGACTGGGGCAAATCTGAGGACAAATAAGCTGTACGTTATTTAGAAATCATAGCTAGAATCTGATTGGATGATAATCATACAGATGATCGATGAAAATTGACCAATCGTAAAGCGACATTAATTATTGGTTTCAAAATCTTATATCTAAGCATTTAATTATGTAATTTGGTGTAATCAAATGCAATGGCAGTTTTCAATAGATTAAAATATGATAAAAAAACCCAACTATTATCAACCCACTGATAAGCTACAATGTACTATCAACAGGTACTTAGAAAAACTCAAGTAAGGCTTGTATTTAAAATTAAAGCAAAAATTGCTTTTGCCAGATCATTTTTTCATTTTATCTTGGATTACGAAAAATGTCCTTTAAAAAATGCACCAGATTGTTTTGTAGAAAATAAAGAAGTTTTGTTGTAGATTCACCGATTTAAGCTGCCCATGCTTGTTTTATGGTGTTATAATAGGATTTGTTACTATATTACTGTATAAGGCAAGCCTTAAAATTATTTTTGTTCCCCTCCCGCGACCCATGCTAGTTTGGATAGGGTAGGGTAGGGTAGGGTAGGGTAGGTAGATATATATAAAGATGTGATTCTAATTGACTATCTGATTCCATGTTTAGTAAAAAAAACATTTTTTTTTTTGCTAGGCAATAATTTTCTTTTGTGTAGCTGTGATATTTGTGGGAAGACAGCGGAAGGGAAACAAACAATATTTTATTTTAGACCTTATGGGAGTGCTGTTTGATATAGTTCCATACACCATGGTTCTCACAAGTCGTTGCTTACAATTGTATATCTTATTGAGAAATTCTGAAAAATGTATATTGCTTTGGTACATGTATACGTATAGAACTTGGTATTTTATGTTATAGACAGTTTGAAATAATTATACTCTATTTTCAAGAAAAAAAATCATATTAGAATACGATTTGTTATGTTTATAAACCATTATTAGACATAAAATGTTCAGGGATGGCATACTTGTATTACAAGATAGAAAAGTTGTAGTGTAAGGAGCTTAGTCTAAGGTCTCTATAGCAACCAATGCTTCATCAACTTTGCCACTAATTCAACATAAAGAGTAATCATAGCAAAACTGGAAAGAAAAAAAATGCTCATTAAAATATATCATTATTTATTTAAGTATATTTTTATACACCTGAGATTCTCTGTGTGTGTGTGTGTGTGTGTGCGTGCGTGCGTGCGTGCGTTGGTGCGTGCGTGTGTGTGTGTATGTTTATTTGAAGCAACGTGTTGAAAATGTGTTCAACACTGGCAGGTGACATCCAGGCAGTTTCCAGTTTTCTCCTGAGCAGATCTACTACATGAGTCAATTAAGATATTGTATAGCACAAATAATCAGCTTTGAGAAGTGGTTTGTTGTATGCAGAATTCAGGTCCCTGTGGCCAAGGTTAAGGTCACACAAAGTCATAGAGATCTAAAAAAATTATGTGTGTGAACAAATGAGCAGTCAAGAGCAAAACTTTTATGTGCATAGAGGAATTTCAGTATAACCTGGCACTAATGTTCACCATTGTGAGGCGCAGTCAAAGTGCAGATAAAGAGATGAAGATGTACATAAGGATCAAGGTCACACATAAAGGTCAAAGTTTGGATAAAATAAATGATGATGGGAATAAGGATCATTTAGTCATCATTTACGAAGGAATTGTAAATCAAATGGTCATTATTATGACTATAGCTGTGATATATGTAATTTCTGACAAAGGTCAGGGTCACGAAAGGTGATGAAATATCCAGATTTGTCTGAGGAATATCTCCTTCATGCATGGAAGGATTTTTATAATACTTAATTCTCAGTTTATTAAGTGATTAAGAAATTGTTTTGGTATTGAGGTTAAATTGTTCACAGGAACACCTAATGCCAAGCATAAGTAGTGTGTGTTTATTATAGGAGAATTATTGAATGTTTCAAGCATGCATCATTATTTCCCTTCAGTTAATTGTTAAAAAATATGCGTGAACATCTATGTCTAACACCACATATTTTTCAGCATACACTTAATTTAATTTCATCATTTTCTGACTGTGAAATAATATCTTTCGTTTTTTTATCAATTCAGCTTAGCATATTACCAGTTCACCAGTAGGACTTTAGGTTTGCCCTTCGTCCATCTGCTTGTGCACTTGTCTGTCCCTCATGAAATTTGTTTTGACCATTTTCTCAGCAACACACTGACTGAGATTCAACTTATAGACATCAGAAGAAGCTTCGATACCAAGAGGAGTTGTAAATAAAAGCAGATGGTTTCAGTCCAGTGATTTTTGATTAAGTTATGCCCCTTTATTTGAAGATTTCTGATAAAGTTATGCCCCTTTATTTGAAGCTTTCTGATAAAGTGATGCCCCTTTATTTGAAAATGTCTGCCTTTAGATGCCCTTTAATTCGCATCACAAATCGTAAGCTATTTGAAAAAAATTGTTGAAATTCATCACAGTTCACAGTGGTAAAATTTCTTTGTTCAATTCAAAATGTTTATATATAGTTTTTATATATCAGATGTGTGCAAAAGTCATGACTCGGTTGCTTTTTGAATGTATCTATGAACTGCTCTTTCGCTTTCCCGCTTTATTTATCAGTAAGACATATTCTCCCTATTATTTGTGCTAACTGTCGACAGTTATTATCAGTATCATTAGGATTGATATGGCTCTTTCCAGTATGGCAATATGCTTGTTTTATTTTTCTTGATTATAATTTTCTTTTTTTTCTTCTTTTTTCAGATTTCGTACTGAATAAAAATGATATTTTCAATGTATGAATCCAACAAATTATTATTTCTTGCTATTAACTTAAAGTGGATCTCTTTTGAAAGATTTAAATTGTCTGGGAAAAAACATTGTTTAACCCTTTACCACATATATACGCGAAACAACGCACTTTCGACACCCCCCCCCCTTTTTTAGGCCTCAAATAGTGAAAAAATGTCCTATTTTGGCCCCAAACACATGTTTTCGTTTGAGAAATGTTGCTCCAAAAATTGAGCACTTTTTCGGCGCCGCCCCCCATCCAAAAGATACATCAGGGGGTTGCCAGAAGGGTGATGTGCCCCCTTCTGTTAGGGGGGTTTGAAGGGGGGGCGGAGTCCCCCTCATCGCCAAAAAAAATTTGGACTTGTGAGAGGCTAAAAATGACCCCAGGTCGATCATAATGTAACGTGTAACCAACGCTTAAAAGCCTTTGACTCTATCTCAATCCCTTGAGAAGTTGCAGCACTTTGAAATGAATTTTGATGGAAAAAATCGAGGCAAAAAAGTGATTTTTGGCAATTTTGAGATGTCCCCTCGTTGCCATGGTAACAGGAAATTTAAGACTGAGCATGTCGTTGCAAAGGCAATGGTCCAGTCAACATTTATGCCAAGTTTGATTAGTATTGAAGCATTTTTCATAGTTTCATAGCAGTTTGAACTTGTAACAGGAGGCTTTTCAGTGAAAACGGCCATTTTTCACAATATGCTCATGGGGGAAAGGGTTAAGAAATCAGAACCAATTTTTTAATTAGTTATAGTAATAATTGATATTAAGATTGAATAATTGTCATGTATTTATAACAATCTAAGTATATGTTGTATAGGCATTCACTTTTTAACACCAGTCATAACTTTGAATAAATTTTATTTTTGAAAAAAAGGTATACATATATATTATTTTGATTTTGAAATAACCTTAACTTTTTCATTACCAAGTTTTAGGTGGGAATGTTAGCGCAGTAAGAGTGACTAAATATATGACAATACAGATCACCAGGTCAATGAAATTCTGCCACATGCTTTTGAGAGTGACCAGGCATATTAGAATTCATAAAATAAGATATACCGTACCATGTTTTTGAATGCTTTTTTATAGTCTTCGTCCGTTCGTCCGTCTTTCCGTCCGACATTTTTGTCCGGAACATATCTCAAAAAGTATTTGAGGTATCAACTTGAAACTTCATAGGTAGATATATCTCATTAAGGAGGAGTGCAATGCACAAGAATGATAACTATAGCCTGCATTATTTATGAGTTATTGCCCTTTGTCATTTTTCATACTTAATTTTTCACATGAGTGGAGTATAACTCAAAAAGTCTTTGAGATGTCAACATGAAACGTAATAGGTGGATAGATCTTATTGAGGGGGAATGCTGTGCGCAAGAATGATAACTCTTCCCTATATAATTTTGAGTTATTGCCCTTTGTTCTTTTTCATACTATTTTGTCCGGAGCTTATTTCAAAAAGAGTTAGAGGTATCATCTTGAGACTCCATAGGTGGATAGATCTCATTGAAGAGGGGTGCAACGCACAAAAATAATTTTTCAGTTATTGTCCTTTGTTATTTTTAATGCTTAATGTTTGTCCAGAGTATAACTGTAAAAGCCTTTATGATATCAACATGAAACTTCATCGGTGGATAGATCTCACTCAGGAGGTGAGAAGTGCATAGGAAGGATAACTCTACCCTTCATCATTTTTGAGTCATTGCCCTTTGTAATTTTTCATACTTAATTCTTTCCTGAGTGGAGCATAACTAAAAAAATATTTGAGATGGAAACATGAAACTTCATAGGTGGATAGATCTTATATAGGAGGAATGCTGTTCACAAGAATGATAACTCTCCATTTAAAATTGTTGAGTTATTGCCCTTTTTTATTTTTCAATTTTTCATACTTTTTGTTCGAAGCTTATCTCAAAAAGTATTACAGGTTTCAATTTTAAACTTCATAGGTGGATTGATCTCATTGAGGAGGAGTAAAGCGCACAAGAATGATAACTCTACCGTGCATAATTTTTCAATTCTTGCCCTTTGTTATTTTTCATGCTTATTTTTGTCCAGATAGTAACTCATTAAGTATTTACTATATAAAGGGTTCACTTGAAACTCAAAATATAATTTAGTCTCTGTCCGTCCGTTTGTCCTCTGCCGTCCTTCCGTCTGACATTTTTGTCTGGAGCATGTCTCAAAAAGCATTTTAGGTATCAGCTCTAAATCCATAGGTGGATAGATCGTATTGAGGAGGGGTGCAGTGCACAAGAATAATATCTCTACCCTGCATATTTGTTCAGTTATTGCCGTATGTAAGTTTTTAAACTTAATTTTTGTCCAGATCATAGCTCAAAAAGCCATTTAGATATCAATATGAAAATTCATAGGTGGAAATATCTCACTCAGGAGGTGTGCAGTGCACAAGAGTGATAACTATTCCCTTCATAATTTTTGAGTTATTGCCCTTTGTTATTTTTCATACGTATATTTTTCATCTGAGTGGAGTATAACTCAAAAAGAGTTTGAGATGTCAAAAACATGAAACATTATATGTGGATTTATTTTCTTGAGGAGGAATGCTGTGCGCAAGAATGATAACTCTACCCTTTATGATTTTTGAGTTGTAGCGCTTTGTTATTCTTCATACTTTTTGTCCGGAGCTTATCTCAAAAGTGTCAGAGGTATCATATTGAAACTTCATAGGTGGATAGATATCAATGAGGAGTGCAGCACACAAGCATGATAACGTACCCTGCATTATTTTTCAGTTATTGTCCTTTGTTATTTTCAGCCATCAGTATTCACTTAGGTTTCAAACCTGTAATCACTTCAGCCATCAGTTTTCATTACCAAAAGATCTCTTAAAATCGAATTATTCTGCTCTACTACAAATACATTCTTCCAATGAGCAAACACATTTGGCGGGGGATGGCCATGTTGACATGGCTCTTGTTGTTTTGTTGTTGTTTTTTTTTTTATTTTTACAAATTCATAAATTTATAATTATTAATTTGATACATTTTTGATATCCTACAATAATTCATTGCATATTGTCACCCCTACGTGCAGTAATGGGTTAAGTCTAAATTTTAAAGTAACCAGTTATTGCACAAAGGTGATGATATATTCCTTTGTATATATCGCAGAAAACAAAGAAGAAAAAAGAAGATACAAATAACATTTTGTTGTTGTACTTTTTATGTTCATGTATATTACAGAAAATAAATAATATGAAAGATGATTTTATTAAAAAACAAACCATATCACATTGGGTGGTATTTGTTGCAGACGTAATCCTCCAAAGTTGCGACTGGTACTTTTTTTATATTTTTCTTAATTTTTTTTTATCACGATTTTGCTGTTATGTTTTTGTTTTTTTCTCTCTCTATTTTATTATAGGACGGGGATATCTTTTAATGTTTTAAAAATGGATATAGAATACCTGGGCTTAACCTCGCTAAAACGTATCACCAATGGAGGGGTGCTGATCGCCCTCAACCCTCGCTTGTGTTATTTAGATAGCCTTGACATGAACAGCATTTTCCACAGCCCGCTTCAAAAATTCACAAGCAAGTTGAATAGGAACAAATCTGAATGTGGTAAGTTTGGGAGAAAAGCGTAACCATGACAACTGGTTCTTTTTCCTTCTATGTTATTTCTTTTATCTCTATGCAGGTTTGAGATGGTCATATTTATCATGCCCAGCTACATTAGTATACAAGTAAACAGATTAGGACTGTTTTTGATAAAATGAACAGGGGAAAATACAACCAATACCAAATCAATAGTATATTAAAAATGAAGAGTAGTTTTTTTGTTGTTGTTGTTGTTTTGTTTTTTGTTGTTTTTTTTTTTTTTTTTTTTTTTTTGGGGGGGGGGGGGGGGGGGCAAAACACGTTTGCTTGTTTATGTAGGTGGTGGGCTGGAAGTACTGACGATCTTGCACCTCATGTAAGGTCAGAAATTTTCTTGGCAAAAAAATGTTGATAAAAATATACTTTTTTAAAACCGAAATATGTTCTTTTGAACCAACAGGAAGACCATAAATTGCGGAATTGCTGAAAAGAAGACAGAGAGTAAGTCTTGTAGTATTGGCTGTATTTTGCCTATGAAAATGATGCCTGATCTTATAAGACAAAAAAATCATATGGTTTTTTTTATAACATAAATCTATAAATACATGTATTTTTCAAATTTTCTCTCCTACTCTAGGTTCGGATCAGGAATTACGTTATCTACTTTGCACGTGGAATGGCTGGGGCTCACGTCTTTGAAAAAGGTTTGGAACGGGGACGTAAGGATCGTCTTGAACAGCCATCTCTGTTATATTGAGGACTTAGATTTAAGCCCTATTTTAGCATTCCCCTACCAGAAGTTTATTCTCGCACACAATAAGGGGAAAGCCGAGTGTGGTAAATATAAGACAGCAATAGGTGCCGGGCACAAATGTTTTAACGCCTTTCTGATTTTTTAATGTGCAGACAATGAAGCTTCTTTACTTCTTTGTCTTGTTTGATGTCTATATATAAACATGTTTGATAAGCTTTGATCGAAAAACGAATTTTGATCAAAATTTGGAATTTGGATTTTTAAATAAAAATGGAATGAACAAATTATTGTTTTTGTATTGTTTAGATTGGTATATAGATGTCAATCAACGCAGGCACATCAAGGAGTCAGCATTGTACTTGTATATTTTTAATTTGTTTTTCGTTATCTCTTATTTTAATATTTTATTTATTTACTTTACATGTAAGGTGAAAAGCAGTGGTCTGACAAATATCTGTCTAACTGCTTTGTGGCTTTTTACATGTTTTATCATTCATTTCATTATTCCTCAGTTGTTCTGGACTTTCTTTGTATTATCCGAACCCACTTACCCTTCACCCTTCTCCCATTGTCCATTTTAGTGAAAAATGATATTTTCATCTTCATTCTTAGTATTATCAACATTCTTTTGTACCTTTTAGATGATTCATTACAACTCCCTGTTTAGTAGCACCCATTTAGACATATTTGATATTCGTTTTGCTTTTTTTAACAGCAGGCGAGGTCATCTGAAAGGTCATTGTCTTTTATTTAAAGCAGAGGTCACCTATAGCTTTAATGCTTAAAAATACAGACATTTAGTATTCTGGCTAGAAACCATAGCCCCGTTTCTTTTTTGTTTCTAACAAGAATAATAGAAACAATACCTCCTCCTTTTATTTGGTATTTTAACATTTTCCTCTTTCTAAACCACTGTTAGGTACGTGAAACGGTGAAGATTTTCCGATTTACAATGCTTCCATCCAATATGGAGGAAAGTAAACAACCAAAAGGTACGTGTCATTTTATTTTCTATGTATTTAGACAGATCCGTTTTATATTGTAAAAGAAGAATAGTTGCATGTAACGTAAATATAAATTCACTAAATTGCACAGATGATTTTATACATTTACTTAATAAACAAGAGTATTCACTTAAATATAAGTGTCTCTTGTACCTAGATTGACTAAAAAATTTACCACTTCTCTCGGTTCAAATTTCATATATATTTATTTACAAAAGTCTTTTTGTAAAAAAAATCATATATATGATATGTAATATACATTGAGAACTTATTGATCTTATAGTGAATTTATTAATATTCTATGTAAAACGGATTTGTCTTAATACATAGAAAACAAGAAAAGCATTTATGCAAAGCATCAAAGGGCGTCCTAGTAAGAAATGCAGCAAGTGAAGATATGATGACAAGATATTCTTATAAACTTTTCAATGGTTAATTGGTTTTTACCAGAATTGTATATCACTTATGAATGAGCGGACGAAAGACATTGTTCATTATGAATTTTGGTAGGCATGCTAGAGATTAGAATATAACTTGTTTTTTTCCACAGGAACTTGAAATTTTTCAATATTAACGATAATATCCAAAATATACAGGTCAATGATATTCAAAATATACTTTCCATATGGTATTATAAGTTTATTCAAACTATATAGGGGGTATTTTTGGATATTATCATTAATATTGGTAATTTGATAGAATTTCAAGTTCATGTGGTATTTTCTTTGGAACATACAAAATAGTAGTCAAAATCAATAGTTCTTTTACATTTTTGAAATAATAAAATACATATATAATATTATATTATAATTGTTATTTTTTATGGTCATAAATGTAATATCGTGATTATTAATAGCAACGGATATATACAATCATTTTTAATCCATTTGTGTAAGGCATGATCAACACCACACTTGTGTGTTGTCCCTTATTATGTTATCGCTATTAGCGAAGACCCCTCTTAAGGTATCTGTTCACACTTAGTAACAATATGACACTGGTTATATTACCATGTTGAGCTTAATTGTTTTATTATACAATACTTATAATATTTTTTAATATTTTTTTACATATTTTATGAATATTGTTTTCTTTTTTTCTTTTTTTTTGTGTTTCATGTGCTTTTTTAATACTGAATTTTTACGTTTACTACTTTTTTAATTAAATTGTAGAATTCAATTGTCATATTGGCCGACGATTATAAGTCAAAAATTAACTGGAAAAAGTCAGTAAATTATGGTTAATCTATCAATATATTATATTGTTTATTCTTAAACCATGTACATTGTATTTTCCTTGATCATTTTTTAAATTATCAAATTGAATAATTCATAAAATTTAATTTGTAACAAAAATATTTCCTTAGCATCTTTACTAAACACGAATAACAAATAAAAATAAAATGTTTCATAGTTGATGGTGTCATATTACACTATAAAAATGTACCTTTTTTACTCAATTATTGTACATATTTATTGTTTTTATCTCATATCAATAAAATAAAACATGCTATTGTTGTTGGTGGGTTTTTTTCGAATTGTATGTTTATGTATAATAATAATAATCAATTTTTAGAGTTGACCTGTGTTTATTAATTATTGTAACCGACCTAAGTGACAAGCATTCATTTTGGAAAAAGAACTTATTTATTTATCTGTAACGATATAAAACATCTACTCCAAAACCGGGAGAGACCGGACAATAAACGTGTGGTACTATTCGCCGGTCTCTAGTAAATCCCGGTCAAAATAGACCGGGAGAGACCTGGAATAACCGAAAGGACACCGGCAAATAGTACATCCCTCTATAAATAGATTTTCGGACTAGGTCATCATTCTATTTACAACTTACGGATACATGTACAACAATAACAAACCATAATAACCCACTGTGTACTACAAAATGATTAATAAAAAAACCCCGAAGATCGCGATTAATTGACGTAAAAGATTATTTCATTTGAATATGTTTGCATTGCGAAATTCCCCAGTTGCTATTCATTGTTCGCGACATTTATATTTGATAAACAAAAAAAATCATACCAATCGGAAGATCAGCTTTTATGACCGACGAAAAGGCCCGAGAAGTTGCTGTCGCCCTTTCACAAAATCTGATTTCATTCCATAAGGGGCGTCGCGCTTCGGCGCGGACGCCAATAAAATGCACTACCTTTTAGTTGTTTACCTTCCTCCATATTGAATGGAAGCACCGTATCACGGAAAATCTGCACCGTTTCACGTACCCGACAGTGTAAACGATCAGTTCTTGTATTGAAGAGGTCATATTCTAGTCTATTGTGACCAGTTGTGTTTACTCTTCTTTTGAAGTTTTATCATTTCAACTTTTGTGTATCACCCATCTTCATCTTTTTCCCTTTGTGTTCATCATTACCATTCATGAATATCATTAACACTCTTGTTACTCATTATTATTACTTGTGTAAATTATTTTTAACACTTTTGTTAATCATTACCACTTACAATAGTCATTACCACTTGTGATCATCAAATTATGATTACCAATTGTGTTAGCCATTGTCATTACCATTTGTGTTAATCATTACCACTAGTGTTAATCCATTAACCCTTGTGGTCCCCCTTGTGGCTGAGGGATTGTCTTCTAAGGGTTGAGGCATTGGAATAGCTGTCACTGTTTATCCCTGCGTGGTTGTTAGAGGCGACTAAATGGGTTCGAATTACTGGAGTCTATGCTACTCTTAGTTTCAGCAGGTAAGGTGGTTTTGACCCCTGGGGTTGCTTTTAATTTGCGATACCCAAGGTTAGCCAAAATCATCTTATTACGGTGCCATATATAACCTTAATTGTGTTGATGTGTCGTAAAACCAAACAAAACAAGTGCCAACTTTTGTTTACCATTACCCCTTGTTTTGTTCATAACCATTGTGTTATCATTTATGTTAATCATTACCACTTGTGTTCTCAATTATTGTTAATCAATACCACTTGTGTTATCATTTATGTTAATCATTACCACTTGTGTTCACCAATTATTTTTACCTTTACCATTTGTGTTTATCTAATGGTCAGTTTTTATGCTTTGTCTGCTTGGCTTTGTTTTTATGTCCTTTAGTATGCTTTGCTATGTGTTATGTCAATGTGCTGTCTCAATGTTGTTATATCCTTTTGTATTCATATACATTTGTACTTGTCAACATTTCTAACATGTCAGTTCTTTCCATGTCTTAATGCTCCCGAAGGGTGGCATATTAAAATCAAACCGTCCGTCCGTACAAACCTGTCCTTGTGTGACTTGTAGAACAATGGATAACTGTAAATTCTCTTTGATCCTATTCATTCCGATTTTACTTGTGTGTCTTTTTTAAGCCTTGTGTGACTAAAAGTGGCTAAAATGATCAAAGGAAAAGTCACATAAGTACCATTTCGTAAGTACGGCCGTCCGTCCGTACAAACCAGAGCTACATTATGGGGTTTGGTCTATTGTTCTCATAACAATAGATGTCTTTGATGTCATTCATTCCGTTTCTCTTGTGGGGTTATTTTCTGCATTGTGGGGTTTAAAAGAACAAAAGAAATAACAAAAGAAAACCCCATAATGTAGCTCTGGTAAGAACCGTCCGTCCGTCCCGCTTTATACATATAGACAGTGGTGGTCGTGTCCACTCTGAAACTCGAGTATACATGGAAGGATTGTAATTTTTCTTTCACATATGAAATAACCATAGATGCCTGGTGTGTCGCGAACAAGACTCGGGTTTCTTCAACTAAGGTCAAGGTCACTTTGGAAGTTCAATCTTTGTCATTTTTATATTATATAAATAAAGATGGTGAGGGTCGCGTCCGCTCTGAAACTTCAGTGTGAATAAAAGGATTTAAACTTTTCTTTCATACAGGAAATAACCTAGATGTATGGTGTGTCGCGAACAAGACTCGGGTTTCTACCACTAAGGTCAAGGTCATTGTGGGGGTTCAAACTTTGTCATTTTTTATATTATATAAATATAGATGGTGGTGGTCGTGTCCGCTCTACAACTTCAGTATGAAAAAGGATTTTAATTTTTTTTCATATATGAAATATTCATAGGTCTCGAGTGTCTACGACTAAGGTCAAGGTCACTATGGGGGTTCAAACTTTTTCAATATTTATGTTATATACATATAAATGGTGGTTGTTGTGTCAGCTCTGTACTTTTCATATACATGAAAGTTTCAATTTTTATTTAAAGATAAAAAGTCACCATAGATGGACAATATGTAGTGAACAAGACCCAGGTTTCTTTGTCTAACTTAAAGGTCACTGCTGGGGTTCGAACTTTGTCAATTTTTACCACCACACTTAACATGTAATAGGTGGTTTATAACTAGAATCCCTCGGGGGCATTTGTCACGTTCTGTGACAGCTCTTGTTTATATCTTATTTTTTGGGAAAATATTACCCAGAATAAGATGTTTCATAATATGCTATCATTGTATTTAAGGCATTTCATAAAAGGCTGTCATTGTGTTTCATTTACTTTAATATAAGTCATTATAGCATACCATATCATCTTTGCCATCGTCTAGGCATTATTGTCTGATCATTTATACAAACATAAAGTTGTTCTTTGTAATCAAAGTCATTCTCAGAACAAACATAATCATCATTGTCAGAACATACATTATCATAATTATAGTTATTGTCAGAACATACATTATCATCATTGTCAGAACATACATTATCATCATAGTCATTGTCAGAATATGCTTCATAATGTAAGAACATACGTTGTCATCATAGTCATTGTCAGAACATATATTGTCATCATAGTCATTGTCAGAACATACATTGTCATTTTTGTCAGAACATAAATTGTTTTCATTGTCAGAACATACATTGTCATCATAGTCATTGTCAGAACATACAATGTCATTGTCAGAACATACATTGTCATCATTGTCAGAACATACATTGTCATCATTGTCAGAACATACATTGCGATTGTCAGAACACACATTGTGATTGTCAGAATATAAAACTTGCCATCATATTCAGAACAAACACAGAACACTGCTTTATCTAGATTCAATGCAATTGAAAAAAATTACAACCTAGGTTGCACTTCTATGATTTGAATAATTAGAAGGTTTTCATAATTTTGATGTCTTTTTTACCTTCAAAATTTATTTTTCTATCTCGAAAGTCTGATTTGGTTTTGCTAAACACAATCTTCAGGTTTTTGTTACACAATTGTTTTGAGCTATTGTATTGTATATGAAACATAAAAAATCTGTATATGATTGGTCTGAAAGGATATTAATCTAAAGACATTTTGTCTGTTTTCATAAAAACGATTTTTCATGAAAAATAGTTATAGATTGCTGCAATATCAAAATTGATAGCTACTATGCAAACATACAGACAGTGAGCTTAATATTTCATTTTATTACATTTTTCTAATTGTATAAAATATTTGATGAATTATTTTCTCTCTTTTAATTAGATAATGCTCATGATTTTAGATGCCCAGGGTCTTAAATGTCATTCTGAGTGCTCGGCTCATGGATGCTGGGGTCCGGGACCAGACAAATGCCTAAAGTGTAAAGCAGCCAACATGGCAGTAAATAATACATGTTTGGCAACCTGTGATGATGTACCTATGGTTTATCAGGCAGAAAATAACGCATGTAAGCAATGTCATATCCAGTGTGCAGGTGGTTGCTCTGGTCCGGTAAGTTTGTTGCCAGCACATTTTAATTCAAAGCTTCATGATGAATGTTGAATAATTGAAATATGACATTGACCTTTGATTGATGTCAAATATTATTGAAAGTTCAATTGTCACAACTTTGTCATTAATTTACAGATTTGGTAAATACAAAACAATACATTTGTAATGACAAAACCGACTTGTTCAAATATGGCCTTGACCTTTAAATAACATTGATCATCAAATTATTATGCATCCCTTTCGAAGAAATGGGGGTATTTATAGACCAAACTGTTTACGATCAATTACTTAGGATCGCCTGGGCCAAGGAACTTAGTATGGAGATTGGTCATGACTAGTAGATGAACCCTTTTGATTTTAATGGTCATATATAAAAACTGTTTCTGACCAATAACTCAACAACCCATGAGATCTTGGACCTCAAACTTAGCAGGTGCATTGGTCTTGCCAAGTGAATGATTGTCATTATGGTCAAAGGTCAAAGTCACACTGACCTTTTATATCAAAACATTTTTCGATCAATAACTTGTCAACCCATGTGCCCTCGCCTCAAACTTCAAAAGTGCATTGGTTTTAGCCAGTAGAGGACCCCTATTGAGTTTTGGGTAAAGGAGTCAAAGGCGAGGGCCATATTCACTTGTATGTATGTTTGAATGGTTTCTGACCAATAACTGGACAACTCATTGGCTATTGGGCGTCCAACTTCACAGGTGCTTATAGATGAAACTTTTAATTTTGGAAGGAGGCCAAAATGTCAAGGTCATATTCACCTTGTATGTCAAAATGGGTCCAATAGAAAATAAGAAAAGGTCGTGCATTTCTTCATACACTGCGATGGCTGTTGTTGTTTAAATACTGTAGTTATATTGTAGAGCTGTTTAACGTCTTTTAAAATATTTTCCTCATATCTTTTCACAGACATTTTAGTATAGAACTAAGTCACAAAGTGTGAACTAATAGTAATGGTAGTTAAATTCTCCATAAAGTTATGTTGTTGTTTCAGGGTCCCGACCAATGCTTTGACTGTAAGAAAGTAAAAGTTCTTGGGCAGAACAAAACATTTGAATGTATGACAGAGTGTCCAATGACTGTAGGACAATTATACTTATACCCTGGCGAGAACGGGATATGTCGTCAGTGTGATACATCGTGTGACAAGGGGTAATCATCGTTTTTATCTTGTTGCTTTTATTTAATAGAAGTATCAAAAGTCACAAGAATCGTTCTTTGTTAAGATTGAGACTAAATGAATTATCGGTGGACCACAATAAATACCGTCTTCAGTATATAGCAGACAAGGTGCTTGAATAATTAAATGCTAAAAGCTCTTTAACACCGCAAAACGTCCGTACCGCAAAATGTACGTATATGGACGTGATGTGGCGCATATCGTCCATATTTTGACGTACATTTTGCGGCAAAAAGGCATGGTCCTGCCGCATAACGTCCATATTTTAAAGTTTATATGATTTTCGTTAATTTTGAACAGTTATTATCTGGTGTTATTGTGTGTTAATTTTAGCTCACCCGAGTATGCGCCTGTCTGCCACTCTAGTATCCACATACCGGCCAAATTCCAGAGTTATCGGGCCTTCCAATTTTTACAATACCCCAAATTATTTAATTTTTTTTTAAACCAAATTTTTGCCCAAAATTTTCCAACCCTTTCCCATTTCTTTTTTTTTTAAATCTTGACAAAATTTTTTTAAAAAAATTTAAACCTTATATTGAACCTTTAAAAATCTCAACAAAGGTTAGATAAAAGGGCCAAAATTTCTAAAAAAAAACCAACAAAAAAAAAGAAATTTTTTCCCCCCTTTTTTGGTTTAGGGGCTTTTGCCGGTTTCTTTTTCCATTCTTAAAAAAGTTAATTTTTTACAAAAATTTTTATTTTTTAAAAAAAAAGACCAAAAAAGGTCCCTTAATTCAAGGTTTCAAATTTTATAAAAAGGCCCCCTTTTAAAACCCCGGAACGTTGAAATATGTCAAGAGTTGTTTGCCTTTGAATAATGAAAATAAAGACATATTTTAAAGTCAAATTATTGAATTGTGATAAAACTGCCATTTCTTTGTTATCAATGATCAGATGTCGTTCATACATTTATGATAGGACGGACATTTTGAATAGTTCAACTATAATATTAACTTTGAAATGACCTTGACCTCAATGTCACTTTTGAATTTTGCTTAAATTACCATATCTTTGTCATTTACAGATATTTGGATATTGATGCCCATTTCAGACGTATAAAACTGATATCAGTTACTCAGATTCTGACCATGCACATGAAATGTACTTGCTTTTTATGTGTAATATTCAATGCTATCTACCCTTGTCATGTGGAGCCTTCAAACACAGGTGGGCGATATAAGGCCACCATGACCTTTTTGCTTTGTTCAATTATAAACTTACATTGTTCAATTGTAAAATTACATTATGGCATTCAAACAAAACGCTTACATAACGATATTTTAAAATATGCTTTAGTTTTCAGTAGAACACATTGAACTTCTTTTTCATCATTTCCTATGAAGAAGAATGTTTGTTATAAAATACTCTATTACACATTATCTATGTAACTTATAGGCGAAATGTTTTGTTCTTCAGGCGATAGAATAATACGGTTTTAGTAAAGGGACGGACTTTCCGACTAACCTATAAATTAAATCATTTTTCAAAGTTATATATATGACAATTTCAAACTTGCATTTACTAGATTTGTAGTTCAAAATATTTGAGCCGCGTCAAGCAGAAATGCGCACTATCGTCATTTTTCCACATATTGATGATGTTCAAAAAATTACAATCTCATCTTTGAGAAAATGTATTGAAAGTTACAGGGTTAGTTACAGACCCGATACGGGGATACACGGTTCTGTAGGAAACCATAACGGGACTCAACCCACAGAACCGTATATTACGGTATCTAACCCTTTAACGATTATATCACGCCAAAAACCTTCCTCATCGTAATTTAGCATAACCAGGGAGACCATACCACGTGACAATATGTTAATACAGCAAGTAACAAGAAATATCTTTAAAAAAGATAAATGGCGTTGATAGAAAAAATGTTCATGTATAAGAAAGAAAGAAATATAGAGCGGCAAAGCGGACGCAGTTTAGTAATTATATTTTACCTGTTATATCTGTTGCCAAACCATCACTGCCTTCTTAGCATGGCCTATGGATTAAGCGATCGAGTTGTGGAAACCCCACAACTTCATTGAAAGTGTCTGTCCAAAAATGTTGAAGCTGTGTAACACCGCAAATATGACTACGCTGTCAAAAGCCCCCATCCATCCCCCGTAAAAATGAACGGTAGAACCAAACCTCCATAGTCAACAAGAACACAAAAAGGCATTCCCACTTCTTGATGCAAATATATGAAAAGCTATTGTCAAAAGCAAAGCTTAATTTTTAATATTTTTGTCATTCACTCAGTCCAATCACCGGAACGTTCGTCCGTATAGCCGTCCTATTCTGTATGTCTATAAGATTACATTTATTTCAATGTCATTGTTTTTATATCTCTGCTGCTGCTGCTGCTGCTGCTAAGCTGCTGCTGCTGCTGCTGCTAAGCTGCTGCTGCTGCTGCTGCTGCTGCTGCTGCTGCTGCTGCTGCTGCTGCTGCTGCTGCTGCTGCTGCTGCTGCTGCTGCTGCTGCTGCTGCTGCTGCTGCTGCTGCTGCTGCTGCTGCTGCTGCTGCTGCTGCTGCTGCTGCTGCTGCTGCTGCTGCTGCTGCTGCTGCTGCTGCTGCTGCTGCTGCTGCTGCTGCTGCTGCTGCTGCTGCTGCTGCTGCTGCTGCTGCTGCTGCTGCTGCTGCTGCTGCTGCTGCTGCTGCTGCTGCTGCTGCTGCTGCTGCTGCTGCTGCTGCTGCTGCTGCTGCTGCTGCTGCTGCTGCTGCTGCTGCTGCTGCTGCTGCTGCTGCTGCTGCTGCTGCTGCTTGGTTCCATTCCATAAAAAATCTATTCGGAAAACATCCTCAGCTTAAGCATATTTCTTTTTTTTTTAAAAAAATCAGAATTGTATAGGATCACAAAAATATTGCACTTTAATGTTTATTTCGTCATATCTTTGCCTGAAACATTATGAAAGTGACAGAACCAATAAAAGTAACGTTTATAATGAATATATTTTAATACAGAAAATATGGACGATATGCGACACAAAGACACACCCTCGCCTCAAAACGTACCAAGTACGATTATGCACCGCAAAACGTCCACATGTGTACGATATGCGCCAAGAAACGCCCACACGCGTACGTTTTGCGGCACGGACGTTTTGTGGTGTTATATAGCTCACCTTTTAACTTTAAAAATTCAAATTCGTCTATTCACACCGATTTATAAATGATAAATAATAATAAAAATAAAAAAATATAAGAATCAGGAAAAAAAGCCAATATTTTTCTACTTTGTGATTATGATTTCTGCAAGCATTGAAATGTTCTGTTTCAAAACTGTCAATCGCAACTTTTCGGCCCGTACGCTAAGAAACTAAATGTAAACAAATAGTAATTTAATGCGTGGAGAAACTGACAAGTTTATATATCCAATTATCAAATAAAAGTCCGCCTAAAATAAGTAAATTCATAGATATTAAAGTAAACAGTACATTATTTATATACTTACTATTATGGTAGTAGAAACTGAAAGTACAAAAATGCCAACCAGGTGACATTCAGTCAGATTTGTTTATAAAATGGTTTTCAGACATATTATTTTCAATCAATTAATTGCACCGAAACAAACTTTTTTTTACTTTGCATGTCAAATATGTACATTTGTTTAACATTAGCAACGATTACACTCCCTGTAACATCTAAAACCATGTGGTAGAACTACTTTCATTTGAGGTTATCATGAATGATAGCCGAGGATGTTCCGATTGCAAAACAGTAGTTAATAAAGTCAGATAGATATGATGCGGTTTAAGTTACTATAATAAGCTGACTAAGTGGAAATGCCCCTGCTTGTTATCAGTTTTCATACTTTAATTGGAGTATATATCCTACGTTGTGTTTTGAATTCGTGTAGTTAATCATGTAGCTTGTCAATCCAAATTCTGAATGATTTTCGATTACTTGAACTATTCTCGTGTCAGTTTCCTTATTGTCTGATGCTGAACTTTACACTTAAGGGTTTCCTAAACTTTACACAAGGGTTTTCTTAACTTTCCACTAGGGTTTCCTGAACTTTACACTTAAGGGTTTTCTGAACTTTACACTAGGGTTTCCTGAATTTTACACTAGGGTTTCCTGAACTTTACACTAGGGTTTCATGAATTTTACACTAGGGTTTCCTGAACTTTACACTAGTGTTTCCTGGACTTAACACTAGGGTTTCCTGAACTTAACACTTAGGTTTCTTGGGCTTTACACAAGGGTTTCCTAAACTTTACACATTGGTTTCCTGAACTTTACACTTGGGTACCTTGAACTTTACACTTGGGTTTCCTAAACTTTACACTTGGGTTTCCTGAACTTTACACTAGGGTTTCCTGAACTTTACACTAGGGTTTCCTGAACTTTACACTAGGGTTTCCTGAACTTTACACTAGGGTTTCCTGAACTTTACACTAGGGTTTCCTGAACTTTACACTAGAGTTTCCTGAATTTTACACTAGGGTTTCCTGAACTTTACACTAGGGTTTCCTGAACTTTACACTAGGGTTTCCTGAACTTTACACTAGTGTTTCCTGAACTTAACACTAGGGTTTCCTGAACTTTACAGTTGGGTTTCTTGAGCTTTACACAAGGGTTTCTTAAATTTTACACATGGGTTTTCTGAACTTTACACTTGGGTAACTTGAACTTTACACTTGGATTTCTTCGATTTTACACTAGGTTTTCCTGAACTTTACACTTGGGTTTTCTGAAACCTTTACACGAGGGTTTTTCTGAATATTACACTTTGGTTTCAGGCTTGAAAAATTTTACCACAAAGGGTTTCCTGAACTTTACATTTTCTTTAAGGGTTTCCTTTGAAAAACTTTTACAGTTGGAGTAATTTTAATTGGGTATTATTTAAGCACTTTAATTTAAACCCAAAACAAAAAAATTTGATAAAAATAATTTATATTTCTTTTTATTTAGATTTACTTGGAACCTTCGTTCAGCTGTTTAAAACTATGAGGATGACAATACATTTCCCCGGTTTGTTGGCTGGGTGAATAAAACCTGGAGAATCAAAACACCTGTTCGTTGTCTTTAACCCTTTTTAGATCAAGAAATTTTGGTCTTCGAGAGGATTACCTACGAAAAAACCCAAATCAACCAGATCTGATGTTTGGGACCATCCCAACTTAATAAAAAAAAAAGGGTAGTATGGTATTAATTTATAGCGATTTAAACCCAAAAATGTTCCAAATTTTCTCGCGCTTTCCCTTTTTAAATTTTCCAGAACGAAAAAAACTTAAAAAAATTAGTCTTTAATTTGAATCTGAAAAAACTTGGGGTTTAAATAAAAATAAAATTTGGGGGTTTTCTCCAAATTTTTAAAAATTTGTTTTTGGTTTTAAAATTTAATTTTGTTTTTCCTGGCAAATTAAAGTAAAATAAATTTTAAAACTAAGGGTTTACTTTATTTGGTTTTCCCAAAGTTTTTAAAAAGTTATTGTGAAGAAAAGGGTTTTAAGCTTAATTGAAACACTTTGGCCCGGAATCCATTCTTGTAAATTCAAAAAACCTTTTGTTTTCCAAAGGGAAATAAGGGGTAAAGTTCGCTTAAAAAAAACAAAGGGTTGGCCCCGGGGGGGGTTTAAAAAAGGCCGAGAAGTCCTTTAATTTCCAGTTTGACTGCGGGCAACCGCCCCCATTTTAAAAAAAATTTTTTTAAAAATTTTCCCGCCCATATTAAAACTCTAAGTTATTTAAGTTGGCCAAATTTCCCATTATAATGTTAAACCCCTAGGTTGTAAGTTGGGCGCTTTAAAAAATTATATAAAGTAATTTTGTATTTTTTTAGTGTAACAAAAAACCCCCGGTAAAGGTCCTTTTCATTTGAAAGTTTATTTTAAAACTTTAAATTTCCCTAAGATTTAAATTAAAGTTATTTTTGTAAAGAAAAATTACAAAGAAGTTTTGGTAACCCTCTTGGTTTTTTTTATAGTAAAAGAAAAATACATGTTTGGGGTATTTTTAATATTTTTAATTTTGACACGGAAATTATTTGGGGGGTTTTGGCGATTTATCATTTTTGTAAAAGGAAACCCAAAAAAATTAAAACCTTTTGATTTTCTTGTCTTACCCTGGACCCCTAAGGGTTTGGGGAAATATTAATTTAAAAAATTTAAAAAAGGAAAAAAAGTATTAAGGGAACTTTAAAATTAAAAACCCTTTTTGTAGAACCAAATTTTTTCCAATTTGCATTTGTTTTTTTAGAAATACATAAATTTTTTAATTTTTATTTTTTATTCAAAGTAAATTCCCGGTCAGGCAAATTGGGTTTTTTTTTTTTAAATTTAAAATTTAACCCATAAAACAAAGGGAACCAAAAATGTTATCATGTTATAGAAATGATATGAAATAAATAGGGTAGGAAATGTGTAACTGGCTATTTTGCTCACTCTATATGGTGAAGGTACCAGGTTCGAGTCATGGATAGACCATGTGACACCTGACACTAAGCATTGACCATGATTGTTTACAACTATTCTGCTAGGCCATTCGCTCTTTATACCTATTAGAAATTTGAGAACCTTTTAGATGATCTGAAAGATGATGATGCCCACATGATGGTCAACCCACGCTTTAAAGATATCTTTGATAGACAGAAAGTAACAAAATGTTGGCATAATAAATGGGAACTGTTGCCATATAGAATTCTTTTCATCTAAGCTCTATTATAGTTTTTTATCAACCAGTAGGAAAAATGATTTAAATCTAGGTAGAGAAACGGCTTTATCAAAGATTGTATTGGAAACTGATTGTTATTTTGATGGTGTTATCATATAATGTTGCTCATTTGAGAGTTCAGATGTGCAGCAATTTAATAGAAATGGCCCTAACGACATTCATGCTCCTCTGTTAACTATATTTTATGAATGTTCCAATATTAACATTGTTTTTGTTTGATCATGATTAAAATTCCATCAATTTTCAGGTATGTCAACCATGTTACCATCTTTGTTTGGAATGTAATGGACCAGGGAATGCAAATTGTCCTTTATGCAGATATTACAAGTACACCAACATATATTCGATTTGTTTAAAGGAATGTCCTGTTGATACATATCCATACCAGAATCAATGTCTTCATTGCAATGATCAATGTTTGGATGGTTGCCGTGGTACCCAATCACAAGATTGTTATAACTGTCTCAATTTCAAGGTCTTTGTTGATGAGGATATGCATAAGGTAAGTGTTCAGACATATTAGACTCAGCATTGTTGACTTACATTATATGCTGACGAGACTCAAAACTATATGCTGACAAAACCCAGCACTATATCCTGACCACATTCAACAATGTATCCTGGCCAGACTCAACACTGAATCCTGTCCAGACACTGCACTTTATCTTGACCAGACTCTACACTATATCTAGACCAGACACAACACTATATCCTGAACAGACTCAACACTGTATGCTGACTACACCTAACATTATATCCCTACCAGACACAACAATATATCCTGACCAGACACAACAATATATTCTGACCAAACTCAACTCTATATCCTTTCTAGACTCAACACTGTATATTTGACCAGACTCAACTCTAGATTCTGACCTGAGACCCACCACTATATCATGACCACACCCTCACTACATCCCTACCAGACCTGACACTATATCTTTACCAAACTCACTTTAAATGCTGACAGGACTGAACACTATATGTTACGACCAGACTTGACACTGTATGCTGACCAGGCACTATACTATATCCTGACCAGACCAAACACTATATCCCAGACCAGACTTGACACTGTTTGCTGACTAGACTCAAACCTTTATCCTAACCAGATTCAACACTATATTCTATCCAGACTCAACACTATATCTCGACAAGACTCAACACTTTATCCCTACCAGACCTAACACTATATCATCACCAGACTCAACATTACTATGCATATGCTGACAGGACTCAACACTATGTCACATTAGACCTGGCACTATACCCTGACTAGGCACTGCACTTTATCCTAACCAGACTCTACACTATATCTTGACCAGACACAACACTATATCCGGACCAGACACAACGCTGTATGCTAATCAGACACTAGACTATATACTGACCATACACACCACTAAATCCTGACTAGACTCAACACTATATCTTGACCAGACTCTACACTATATACTGACCAAACATATCACTGTATGCTGATTAGACACTACACTATATACTGACCATACACAACACATATCCTGACCATACTCAACAATATATCCTGACCAGACACAATAATACATTCTTACCAAACACTTTAGACTGCCTTTGTAACAGGGTAACAAATTTGAATAAATACTGGTTGTTGTTTTCAATCTTTAATCTTTAAACGCAAATTGGGTCACGTATTTAGTCAAACATATCTCTCTTCTCTACGTCAGTCATTCATTAACTATAGTCGTGTTATCCTATAGTAACATCCACTAACCGTTTAAAAGTGTTTATACAAAGTGATATTTACGGGTACGGTAATGCATCATTGCATTCCGTCACTGTTCTCACTTTGTGTATACTTTGTGTAGACGCATTTCTTTAAAATATAAGTAATAGTTACCTTACGAGAAATAGGTCTGCAAAGTATTTACAGACCGGGGTGGCGATTTGAAGACCGAGAGAGCGTAGCGATCGAGGTATTTAAAAGGCCACCGGGTCTGTAAATGCTATGCAGACCTATTCCATGTGCGGTAACTATCTAACCTACATGCTATTTTGTTTTTCAATCCAGACATCAGCTTCTATTTCAGTATTTATAAATATTATTGAAATAAAACCTATTATTTATGTACGTTATCACGTTTAAGGAAGCATTCCAAAGCCATTTAAAGATACCAACCGCTATGCTCTTGTAATTCATTGTGCTTATCTCAGGTGTTATTTTAAAATTCTCGTGTTTTTCGTGGGGTTCCATTATTTAACAAGGTCATGTAAATGGACTTGTTGAGTTCACAGACAATTCTATTTCGTCAAAACACTTTCGGTCTAAATGAGATAGTACTGCGCATGCGCCAATTCAGTGTGCTGCATGCCGTCGTGAAGACGACACGCTAATTCATATCAATATTTTGTAAACGCGGTTTACAATAAGATTTATCGAGTTTTGTTGTTTAATATCGGATATATTTTGAGTAATATTCATCAATTGATTATCGGACGACGTTCGATATTTATATTATTGTGTATTTTGTGTAAAATTGGATTTTTCGTTGTAACACGTGGTGTTCAACATAAAATAATGGCGGAATCGAGTAAGAAATTGCCAGAAGAATTTCCCTCTGGAAAAGGGGAAAAACAAGAGATAGGTTCGAACGTAGTTCGGGAAGGCTTGGAAAGGCAAATAAATTAGCAAATTCGTCAAAAGGAAAATCACTGGCGCAACCCGGTAAATCCGGGGAAACGGAAAATTCTGAAGTAAGTCGCGAATTCTAATGATAAAATGTTGACCGTTGTTGCAACAAATTCAGAGAGTCCATGAAAAAGAACAAGATAAAAAGTTGACTAGTGTAAGCAACAGAATGGACTATTTTGAACAAGTTTTGAAGTATGAGGACGACTGTTCTTTATGTGCCTGAGCCTTCGGAAGATGAACTTTCCGGTACGAAAACCGCGAATGTTGACAAAACGCAAAAACACTGACAGTCGTTTCTCTTTCCATTTGCGAGAAGATTTTAAAAAAATGCAAGAACACTGAGTCTGCGATGAGAGTGGTTGATTGAAACATTTGTCCGAGAAATGTTAATGAAATTATTCAGGAATGGAATTGAAGATGAACGTTATAATCAGAACTTGTTAAAGATGAAACAAAATGCTAGAACCCTGAAAACTGTTGACAGTCTAAGTTGTTGTAAAAACAAATCTTTTGATATGGGATTGCCATATTCACAAGGTGCTAGGGACAAATGATAAAAAAATTACAGAATTTCGAGACTTCTGTAATCAAAGCTGCCCACAATTTTGGTGAAAAACGGGTGAACAAAAATGGCAATTTTTGGAACGTGAACATTGAGAAAATATGGTGAGTTTAATTTTGAAAATTGTAATGATGTTTTGGCTCTTTTGGGTCACTCTAATAGACAAATAAATTTGTTACGTAGAGATTTGATGAAGCCGGAAAATTAAAACAGAATATGTACATTTTGTGTACACATTCATTTGCCCTTTACACAAGAGTTGTTTGGAGACGACCAAGTTACAGATTGCCCTACAGAGGGACTTTAAAAAGGTCCGTAGCACTTACCCTAGAGGAGTTTGGCCGTGGAATGTTCCGGGCTCCACATTCTGCTGGTTCATATGATCCAAAAAACTACTCCCGTCGGGGAGTAGGGAAGGCACGCATGTAGATAAGGTAAAATTTAATATTTTAAATTTAAAGCAGGCAGATTGAGGTACTGGAGTGAATTTACAAGTGATAACACTGTTTTGGATATGGTTCAACATTTTCATATCCAATTTAAACCAGAATTTTATGAATATAAACAAGAACACTGTCCACAATATTCTTAACTTGGAAGAATCACATATAATATTAAAAGAAATAGATAATTTGTTAGAACTAGGTGTTATCAAAAAAGTGAACCACGAGACGGGGCAATTTTTATCCCCAATATTTCTTAGAAAAAAGAAAAATGGTGACTATAGAATGATTCTAAAAAATTGAAAACGTTCATACCATATCATCATTTTAAAATGGACACCTTTGAAAAAACATTTACAACTGATAAGATAAGAAAAGATATGTTTATGGCATCAATATGATTTACTCCATGCATATTACAGTGTACCTCTTGCTCAAGAACAGCTGAAATATTTTAGGTTTTCATTTAATTCAGAAAATATACGAGTAGCAGGTGTTTCCAAATGGTTTGGCACCTTGTCCAAGGTTATTTACAAAGCTGTTAAAGCCCGTTTACTCTCAAAGTTGAGAGGGCTAGGTTATATTTATTCTGGATTTATAGACGATAGTCTCCTTTGCGGGGAAACTAAAGAAGAATGGTATAGAAAATATTGATGTCACAAGGAAAACATGTTTTTTCAGTTTAGGTTCATGTTAAATATGGAAAAATCAGTGTTCCAGCCATCTAAGAAAATTGTTTTCTTTGGGAAATGTGATAGATTCTGAAAAAATGCTTGTTTATTTAAACAAGAAAAAACGCTTACAGTAGAGATAGAATGAAAAAAGCTTTATCAAGCTGAAAAGGTTTAAAATTCGTAATGTTGCTAAAGTTATAGGTATTATTGTGTCAACATTTTCTGCTTTAGAATACGGTAGAATGCACTATCGAAATTTAGAAAAAGCCAAAAACTATCGCATTGAAGGTTAACAAGGGTGATTTTGATTCAGAAATTACTATTTCTGAGAGTATGAAAATTGAACTACATTGGTGGTTTTCAAAATATAAGACATCAAGTCAGGCATATTAGTCATGGAAATCCAGAAATTAATAATACAAACAGACGCAAGTCTGCAAGGATGGGGTTTTTGTTTTAGAAACCGTTAAAAGTGGGGGTCGTTGGACATTAGAAGAATCAAAATGGCATATTAATAAGTTAGAATTAATGGCTGTGTTGCATAGTTTAAAAGCGAGCATAGAGAAAATTTCTGGCAAACATATGAAAATCTTGTCAGATAGCTCAACAGCAGTATGTTACATAAACAATATGGGCGGAAGTAAGTCAGAAGATTGTGATTTTGTGAGTAGGCAAATCTGGAATTTATGTATTGATCATGATATTTGGTTGTCATGTGCCCATATAGCTGGTACAAATAACCAAGCTGATACTCCATCGCGAAAGTTCAAGGATCTTTAGAGTGGGAGCCAGATGATACAATATTTACAAAAATTTGCACAAGAACCAAATTTCCAGATATTGATCTTTTTGCTTCACGACTGAATGCTAAAATATCAGATTTTTGCTCCTGGAAGCCTGATCCAGGAGCCAAGTATGTAGATGCATTTACATTAGATTGGAGTAGTTTTTCATGTTGTTATATTTTTCCAACCTTTCAGTTTACTGGGACGCTGTATTCAAAAGATTACCATAGATATGGCAAGTTGCATAGTAATTGCTCCACTGTGGCCAACACAGACATGGTTTACAACGCTGATGAAATTGTTAAATACAGGAAACCGTTGATTCTTCCATCACAGAACAATCTTCTATCACTCCCAAAAGGGCAAAAGGTACATCCATTATTGGGGAAAATGGTTTTAATAGCTTGTCTTTTGTCGGGAAAGTCTTCAGAAACGTGGCTTTTCTTCAGAAGCAACCAAAATTATCATGTCTTCATGGAAAACTGGTACTAAAAGATAATATCAAACGTATATATCAAGATGGCTACAGTGTTGTTGTTAACGACACATTAGTTCAATTTCAGTTACTATAGTAGATGTTATCGAGTTTTTCACAGTTTTGTTTCAAAAGCGGTTTGGGATATAGTGCATTAAATACAGCACGAGGCGCTTTATCAGCTTTAGGACTTGTCATAGATTACCATCGTGTTGGATCACATCCAGGTGTTATAAGATTTATGAAGGGAGTTTTTAATATACGACCAAACAAGGTCAAAGTACATTAGTACTTTGGATATTAACACTGTATTACTATTTCTACGCAAGTTAAGTCCAGTGAAACATTTGTCTTTGAAAGATCTTACTATGAAACTTGTAACGCTTATAGCAATTACGAATGCAGCTAGAGCTCAGTCTATACATTTGTTATCAGTTAATAACATGAAAAAGTTCAGTTCACAATTTGTTTTTTAAAATTTGATGCGTTATTAAAACAGAGTCGGCCGGGAGCTGATTTTTCAACTTTGTGTTCTTAAAGCATATCCTTTCCAAAGATAGGAGGCTTTGTGTCTATACCGTGTTGAAAGAATACTTTTCAAGAACCAAACCTGTTTCGCTGTAAAACTAAATAAACTGCTTCCCTAAGTTATGTGAAAAACCAAATACGGACCAGTATCCACGTGACACTGTATCAATGTGGGATAAAAACAATGTTTAGATCGGGTGTTAACACAGATATGTTTTCCTGCACATAGTGTGCGAGGAAGCATCTTCATCAAAGGCAAAAACTTAATGCCGTTTTCCTGTGGTCTGCTTATTTTGGAAAACGCAGGATGGTCCAAAAATGTAAAACATTCTCGAGATTCTATGACAGGGAGGTGAGAGAAACTGTTTCCCCTTTGAAGAAGGAGTTTTGCAATAAGGTCTGTTATATTTTGTCATTATTGCGCTTTTAACTTCTCATTTAGACCGAAAGTGTTTTGACGAAATAGAATTGGAAAATTAAACGAGATTTACCTTGGTTAAGTCCATGTTTGATTGAAATTCTATGAGTCAAATGCACACTTGAGGGATTAAATGCCCTCCACACCCATCCCATTATGTATAAAATTTGTGTTCATTTATGACATCAGTATAGAACTCGCAGATTTCTTAAATTTTTTAGGCAATAATGCCAAAATGCGTTAAAGACTGAATTGGCGCATGCGCAGTACTATCTCATTTAATCCCTCAAGTGTTCATCTAATATTGCCCTAGCAGCCTGCGCTAATTTATTTCTTTTAATTTGATGAATATTTACTTAAAAATAGATATCGGTCCTTTTTCATATTCGAAGTGGCTTCCCCCATAAATTTGCACATTTCAGCGTGTTTTTTTTTTAACAAATTTTACATTATTTCAACATTCCTGCTTTACAGGATATGCGTATACGGTGATTATTATGTAATGCTTAATTTTAAATGCATGAGTTTCACGACTTCACATATTTTCTTTTGTATAGATAACAATAGAACAATAACAGGTCGGTATTTATTTGCAGACCTGTTAATTGGTCGGTTAGTGATTAACTAGACCGCTTTTAACAAAGGAGTCGGTAGGTAATAAATTATCTATGATAATTTTATATTGTTTTCAGGTAAGTGATGTTATATCTTCCTAGTTTTTCATATGCTTAAATTGTTATTTTTTGGTAAAATGTTGTTATTTAAAATAATTAATCTTTGAAAAGAAATAGAATACAATACCCTGAATATTGATAGACCTGTATACATATTTTATGCATTGAATGTCAACACAAAGTTCCGTTCTATAATTTAATGTTTCCTATAATTTAATGTTTCTTTCCAAGTGGAATACCACAAATAATTTATAATATGTACAGGTTATCCTGACTTTAACAAATACAATGTAGATATTAAAAATATAGTAACAAATATTTCTAATGGAAAGCCACAATGTTATCACTTGGCAATCAAAGACTAACTGATCCATTTTTCTATCTTTACAATATCTCTAAAAATGGTTTCGTTTTAAACTGACCAATAAAATTTTAAACATCTTTGTTTCTTAAATAACAAAATAACCAATCGGGTTTCAATACAAAATAATGTAACATAGCAACATAGAATTTATAACAACAATCATCACCTGGACATTTTATCAGTCATAAGGTTTAACAATTTATTAAGTACAGACGGCTAAATTGACATTATCACCTAAATATAATAAAACTTTTAACACAATTGATTGTACAAAGAGTAAAAACCACATTTAATCTTCCGCTTACATAATTTTAAATTTAATATTTGTAACTTAACATATTTGAAATTTTACACATTGTTTTGTAAATATGGCATTTTTAGAAAATGATTATATTTATAAGTTTTTTGTTTAAAAGAAATTAACATGCATATTTATTCATTTTTTTTTTTCATAAACGGGTTTTTATCATTTTTCGGATGCACAACACATGTATATCTATTCTTGTTATTTGTTTTCATGTTTTATGTTTAGGGAAACAGGAATCTCACTTTGTGTAGACGCATTTCTGTTATATATAATAAATTATCTATGATACTATATTATATTGTTTTCAGTTTCTTACACCAATAAGAATCTATGAAGCTACCAAATATTTGAACGAGCTAGCTAATGACCGGCAAAGCAATGTAAGGTCAATGACGCCCAACGGGAGACCGTGACTGCATCTAGCTCAGAGGTTAATTAGCATTTATCTATAGCTTTGTGGAATTCGAGGACGAATTTCAATGTTGAGGTGAAGTATGTCACGGTTCAGAATTGTTCACCTTTAAGGGGAGAAGATGTGTGAGCGGCCAAATACCTCAATCTGTAGAGCCGCAGAACGTTTTTCCGAAGGTCTCGGGTTCGAGTCCCGGTCAGGCTGCACATTTATCTCACCCTCAGCGGAAACACCATATGGGAATATAATAATAGGATAACGGGACTATAGTTATTGAATGACTGACGTAGAGAAAAGAAATATGTTTGACTAAATACGAGAAGGATTGAAGATTGAAATCAACAACCAGTATTTATTCATATTTCATTTATAAATGATTACTACCCTGTGAAATACTCCCCCTGCTAGTAAAAATGTCGTCCCGACATTTCTTCCTTATCCTTATAAAAATGAAACAAGTAGAAAAGACATCACAAAATCATACAACACAAGTCACAAAATTTATACATGACGTAATAAACAAAGAGAAAATCACACACACAAAAAATCAACATCGCGAAACGTACACTATTCCAGCCGAGAATTCCATCATAGACATTAGTCAATAATTACCGTCTAAAATATGCGATAATTATAGAACATGCGTTCGTTTGTTCAGGTAAGTATACACCCGCATACCACAAAAGGTAAGTTTAAATTACATCCCATCCGAAACGGTATACTAATTCAAAACAACAACCTGTATTTATTCATATTATATTTATTAATGATAAATACCTTGTGACATATAGACTCAACACTGTATATTTGACCAAACTCAACTCTAAATTCTGACACAACACTATATCATGACCACACCCACACTGTATCCTTACCAGACTCACTTTAAATGCTGACAGGACTTAAAACAATACGTCACGACCAGACTTGACACTGTATGCTGACAAGACACTACACTATATCCTGACCAGACCCAACACTATATCCCAGACAGACTTGACACTGTTTCTTGACCGACTTAACACTTTATCCTAACCTGCCTCAAGACTATATCTTGACCAGGCTTGACACTATATGCTGACCAGACACAACACTTTATCCTTACCATAAACTACAATATATCCTGACCACACCCGCATAATATCCCTACCAGACCTGACACTATATCCTCACCAGACTCAACACTACATGCTGACTGGACTCAACATTATGTAACAACCAGACTTAACACTATATCCTGACCAGGCACTACACTATATCATTACCAGATCCAACACTTTATCCCGAACAAACTCGACACTATATAACGATCAGGCAAAACACTATATACTCACCAGACGAAATACTATATCCTGACTAGACTCAACACTATATTCTAACCAAACCTGACAATATATGCTGGCATTACACAACACTTTATCCACACCACACCCAGCACTATATCCCGACCAGTCTTGACACTTTTTACTGACCAGACACAACAATGTATCGTGACCAGACACTATATCCCGACTAGACTTGACACTATATGCTGACCAAAGTCACACAACACTATATCTTGACCAGACTCAACACGTCATCCTGACCAAACTCAACACTATATCCCGACTAGATTCTACATTATATGCTGACCACAGCTAACACTATATCTTGACCAGACTCAACACTATATCCTGACCAAACACAACACTATATCCTGACCAGACACTAAAATATATGCTGACATGACTCAACACTATATACTTACCAGACTTGACACTATATCGCTACTAGACTCAAAACTATATGCAATAGGACTAAACCTAATGTCATGACTAGACTTGACACTGTTTGCTTACCACACTCAACACTATCTCCCAACCAGACTCTACACTATCTTTAGTTGCCTGCTCAATTAACATACTTATATTCTTAAATTTGGAAGATTTTACCAAATTCTTATTGGTACAAGTTATCACATTAAATCAGTGAATTAAATGTACATGATTTGGTTACTCATATATGTGTATTTTAAATAGTTTTTTATTGTTGTTTTTTTATAGTTTTCCTGTGTAGAGAAATGTCCTGATGACCTACCCCATTTAGTGGAAGATAAAGATCTAGACAAACCAACAATGACAGTCTGTGCCTCAGATGACCATCCAGAAGTAAAAGCAAGAGATGCAAAAAGAAAAGAGTATAACTTTTACATTAAATTGAACTATCTAAATTCAAAAGTCTTAAAATGAAAGACATTTAATTAATAAAGTATATGAATTTTATCTCGCTGATGCAAGGGAAATAAAAGTCAACATGTATGACTTAGATAACACTTATGCAAATTGAGATTAAATGATATTGTACATTTTTGATTTCAAAGAATTATATGAATTGTATCCCCCCTAGTAATATGAATTGTTTCCTATTTGAGATATGAATCGTTCTCTAATAATGACCCCCTAGTTATATAAATTGTTCTCCTTGAGTGATCCACTTGTGATATTAATTGTACTTAAATAATGATATAAATTTTCCCTTACTAGTGATCAACTAGTTATATTTGTTCCTGTTGAGTTAGATCCACTTGTGATATGGATTGTACCCCACTAGTGATACAACTTGTATTTTATTAAGCAAAGATTTGAATAAGTGAAAGTGCACTTTAGCTAGCTGAAAAAAGCAATGACATTTTTACCGAGGATTTGCTGTGTACAAGAATAATAACTCTGTCTAGTTTGCTTTCTGAAAGGAATATTATTTTTCTATACACCTCTACACCTTTCTCATAGATATTCCGTATTCTTTTAGGTTTGGGAGCATCCATCATTAGTATTGATATCGTTGTCATCATGCTAAGAAGCTTTATGTCTTGCTTTAGATAAATTATAGGTAGTGACTTTACCTTAACCATAATAGTTAAAGTACGTTAGTCATTATGTGACATTATAATTGTCAATCAAATAAAAGAATTAAGGGTAAAAATACCCCAATAAGTTACTGCATGAAATGACATTTTATTTTTCAGTGAAAAGAGACAGCATGCTATAGGTATAGCAATAGCTGTCGGTTTGCCTGTTTTTATCGTTATAATTTCTGTCGCATGCTGCTGTGTTTGGAAGTGTAGAAGACAACGTATACAACAAATGGCCAAGAGGACAGAAGTGGTTGATACAGAGGTATATTTTACACATTTTCTTCTGTCAATTGGATGAGTTACATGTACATGGCCAGGAGGTTAAGGATTTGATTTAGGATGACATTTGCATACTTGAATCTTGACTCAGACTCTGAGCTATTTTTCAATCAAAATAACTGAACAGTTGCTGTATGACTTATACAGTTTCATTGTAACTTTAAACTAAATTAAATAAAATTATCTGTAGGTAAAGTCGTTTATTTGTTCTGAGTGAATATGAACGCTATCACTCTAGTTCAAGATGAGATATTTCAAATAGTTTCATGATAATGATACTACGCTGGACACTCGTGAACAAAAACATTAATTTAAAACACTAAACTCTTTGAATGAATGATATAAAAATGAGTGATATAAATTAGAAAAAAGTCTAATATCTCACTTATGTAATTAAAAGAAATTATTTTTGAATCATGGAAGAAAATGAGTGATATGAATTATATCTCACTAATGTTAATCAATAAAATGAATTTTATATCACAGAAGAAAGTGAATGATATCAATTAAATATCACCAATGTAAAACAATGAAATGAATTTTGTATCACATAAATATAAATATATATAATTTATATAATATAAATTGTGTCTCACAAATGTAAATAAAAGAAATGATAATGTATCACAGAAGACAGTGAGTGATATGAATTCTATCTCACTAATGTAAATGAATGTGTTGAATTTTGTATCACAGAAGACAGTGAATGATATGAATTTCATCTCACTTATGTAAATAAATGAAAGGAATTTTGTATCACAGACAAAAGTGAGTGATATGAATTGTATCTCACTAATATAAAAAGATGAAATGAATTTTTTATCACAGAAGAAAGTTAGTTACAACAATTATTCCAAACTAATGTAAATACATGGAATGAATTTTGTGTCAAAAAAAAGATGAGTGATATGAATTTATTCTCACTGATGTAAATGAATTAAATGAATTTTTTATCACAGAAATAAGTTAGTGATATGAATTGTATCTCACAAATGTAAAAATGTAAATCTATGAAATGAATTTTGTATCACAGATGAGAGCGAGTGTTATGAATTATATTTCTCTAATTTAAATGAATAAATAAATTTTGTATCGCAGAAGACAGTGAGTGATATGAATTGTATCTCAATGATGTAAATAAATTAAAATAATTTTGTATCACAGAAGACAGTGAGTGATATGAATTATATCACACTGATGTAAATAAATGAAATGAATTCTGTATCACAGAAGACATACAGTGAGTGATATGAATTTTATCTCATAATGTAAATAAATGAAAGGACATTTGTATCACAGACAAAAGTGAGTAATATGAATTGTATCTCACTAATGTGCATCATTAAAATGATTTTTTTTTTCACATCAGAAAGTGAGTCATTTGAATTACCCGTACGAAAATTCCAGCCGTAAAGTAGCAGGAAAAGAAACGGAAATTGGACGTAAAACCACTTTTCCAGGCGTAAAACACACGTAATTTTTTAAGAGCAGGAAAAATATGAAAAGTATGGGCGTAATTTTCTATTTTTTACGGCTGTACTTTTCTTTAGGGGCGTACAATTTGACTTAAAATTTTAAGGTGCTGTAAACTGAATCAAAAATGCTTAAGTTCCATTTTACGCCTGTAAAATAAAATTACGGCTGTAAAAGTGTACTTAGGTTTTTTAGTTGGAATCTAGACATTAAAAAGTTGAAATATTATTCTATGCCCAGAAAATGCATTCATCTGGATATAGTTTGTTGCTACTCCTGTGAAAATTTAACGTCAATCTTCAATAAGTTTGACCTTGGTCTCTTCTTCTAAATGGGATTTGTCTATTTAATATTAGTATAAACTGATACCAGTATTTACGCCTTTCATGTTATGCTAACAATAATTGAAAGTGAAAAATGCAAAGGGCAGTAACTCCAAAATTATGCAAAATAATTATATATCGTTCTAAAACACTGCAATTTACTCAAAAAGATCTTATAATCCATCTGTGAAGTTACAAATTAATATCTCCAATACTTTAAAAGTGGTATGATTAAGACAAAAAATAAGCAAGGAAAAGTACAAAAGGGAAATAACCCCCAAATCATACAATAAAGTGTTATGGTTCTTAGACATTGCACTCCTCATAAATGAGATCTACTTATATGTGGATATTAGAATTATTGTCTCTAACATTTTTGTGTTATGCATTTCAGACAAAAACTTACTAAAGGCAATAACTCCATTACTTTGCATTCATGTATTCTTAAGGAAAAAAACATGAATCATGTTATCAATATTAAATATATAAATGCTATTTAGTGCTCGCCATTTTTTTAAGCCAATCACCGACGAGGATTTTTCAAATCTTCAGGTTTCAAATCTTAATAGAACAGATTTTATATAAACTGGACGTTTTATATTATAAAAAGCAAGTGGGCGGAGCACTTAGCCGGTTAGAGTGCATATTTGATGTTCTTCGTAAATAAGAAAGCTACAGTCGCTTCGCAAGCTCCGCTCCTTTTTAGCTTTCTTATTTACGAAGAACACCCAATATGCACTCTAACCTATACTTGATAGAAATACAATAATGAAGCAATGTGCTTATACACTGTGAAACTTAGTCAGAGTATGTCCTTGATGCTGCAAATAATGCCTGGTAATTTCTTATAACCAGGATAAGTAAATACTGCATCCACTAAGATTTAACACCACAGGCATACAACAAAGATCTGATAAAACTACTTCCCTCTTAGGGGGCAGGGGCATATTCGAATGATGGCCCCGTCAATTTTTTTAATAACTCAGACATGGTGTTTTGAGGGTACTGATAACTTCTGATATTTCTCTGTCATTGTAATTCTTTCTTGTTTGTGTGTAGGAAATGAGAAGTATTTTTGGGTTTTTACCCGAAACTAAGCATTTTGGTAGCTTTGTATGTATTTCTGACTCTCCGAATGGAGGTGAAAAAGTTAAAAATCAAGCTTTGACAGTTGGCGCCAAACAAGTAAGAAATTTCAGATAAATTTTGTGAAAAATCTAAACGTATGACAGACACTTTATTGGTCATTTCTGAAAATGCCATAGCTTGCACTGCGTGTTAATGATATTTTTAAAGGAATCGGGCGGATTCTGGAGTATGCTGCACCTTCATGAAGATTGCCCATATTGGTACATTTTAGGTGTGTTTTTGGCTGGGTTGGGGTAAATATAAATTGCTGTCAGTCATTTTTTGAAGGAGCAATGCATGCAAACTATTATTTTCTTCAATGTATGTCATATATCATTGAATAATGCTGTGCCACTGGTTATCTGCCTGTGAAACAGATTTTGAAATATTTGGAATTGTGTTTCTGGTCACACTGAAATACAAAATTTTTCATTTTTAGGTTCCCTGCCCCCTTATCTATGCATGGCGGTTAATAGTTTACTCATGCTGACCAGACTGTTCCATTTGGTTATTTTAGGAGAGGCAACATTATACATTTTATATGTTTAGAATCTGTGTTAAAATAACATGCTAATTTATCTTTCAAAAACATAATTCTACACTATCTATTTAGGTATCAAACATAGTTTATACATTCAAATGAATGTAAAAAATAAAATGATGGGTGCTTTGGTTTTTGGATTATTTCCCTCGGAGTTTAAAATTATGATGGAACCTTCCAGTTATACAGTAACTGTTGTAAAGTTTGAATTCAAAGGAATTGAGGTCAGTGTGTGTGCAAACACAAAGAAAACAATTGATATTGTACCAATTCTGTAGATATTATAGTGTTTTAAATGTAAAGATGCATATTTAGAATTTCTCAAAGAAAACATTTAAAGTCTTACTAGTGTGGTAAATAGAAATGAGAAGAATCTGGAAATGATTTTAACTGAAGTGTGAATGTGTAGATTATAACATGGGACAAGAAGATAAACAGCAGAATCATTCGAAGTCAAAGTTTCAGGTAAACAACTTTTACATACATTAAATTTAATGCAGAAACAGATAAGCTTTTTAAAAATCAAAACTTTCAAGTGGTATTGTATAAAAATTAGATTTGTTTTTCTTTCAACTTGACTAAAACAGAAATGTGCATAATAAAAATGTAGGAAGATCTTTATCGTTTCTTAAATACAGTATGTTAGATATTTTAAGTTTGAGAAAAAAAAATGATAGAAATTGATAAGTAAGACAGGTCAACACCATATTATGTATAATATTATATCAATTTAGATTATGAGATTATATTGCAGGCTTAGACCAGTACATACTGTGAGATGCTGTCTGATTGTTTATGTGTGCAACATTTAACTACCGCAAAGCCCAGAAAGGTATATACAATACCATTTACAATATAATTAAATAACCTAGAAAAAAATATTTAAAATAAAATTCTTGTCAAATTAAGTAATTGTTAACTTTCAATAAACGTCACTGATGACTCAGTTTGAACATATTGTACAGTGAAATAAGATAATGAGTAGCTTTAATATTTTTGAATATGTAGCATTAGCATGAAAATTGTATATAATCTTTGAGATATTATGAAATGCAACATTGTTGTATTTAATATCTAATATTGATCTCAATGTGTTTCCATCTTTAATGAATTAACTTATATTATACATGTATAATCAATGTATAATTTTGTCCTTAAAGGTGAACACAACCCTGTGACATTCCTGGTGTTCAAACCAAAGCGAAGTGCTGGCAGAGGTGGACATGGTAAATAGAAATTGTAGTTTAAATAATCAGATTGTTTTTGGTTTCATATCGGCAGTTTAACTTATTAGCTTGACTTTTTGAAGAATAAGGAACGCTATCCTAGCCCCCCCCCTCCACGATGGTAGGTGATGGCTTAACCACTTATGTTATAGTTTGGGTACAATAATATAATGATGCTCCTTTTTCGACTTAGAATTTATGTTAAAGTTAAAGAACCACCAAAAATATTTTCCAATTCCATAGACTTTTGGCTTTGAAGCTTTGCACACTTGTTCACCAATCTGTACACAGAAGAAAGTGACTGTATCAAGCATTTTGACAGATTTATGCCCCTTTTGAGACTTAAAATCTATGTTAAAGTTTGCGCACCACCTCAAATATTTTCAAAGTCCATTGACACATGGCTTTGAAACTTTGCATACTTGTTCACCATATGTCATCAACCTGTACACTTGAGGATGTCATTGTATCAAGCATTTTGACAGAATAATGCCCCTTTTCGACATAGAATTTATGTTAAGTGTGCGTAGCACCACAGATATTTTCCAATTCCATTGATATTTGGCTTTGAGACTGTGCTCACTTGTTCACCATCATACCCCCAACTTTTCTTACTGCTGGTCTTTGACTTCTTAGTGTGACCATGACCTTGTAGTTAGGGGTCTTAGTCTTGTGTATTTTTTACCATTTCATCATGTTACACATTTGTGCCAAGTTATTTCAAAAATCCTTTATGCAGGATAGAGTTATTAGCTTGAAATGATTTTCTTACACTTTGACCTGTTACTGTGACCTTGACCTTTGAACTAGGGTCTTGTCCAAGGGCTTGACACAGCATCTCATCATGCTTCATATTTGTGCTAAGTTATCTTAAAATCCCTTGATAAAAGACAAAGTTATGGGTTGTACAAGATTTTTAACCTTTAACCTCTATGTGTGACCTTGACCTTGGAGCTGTGGTATTGGTCTTGAGCATGATCAATGTCTGAACATGCTTCAAATATTTTCCAAGCTATATCAAAATCCCTTGATGCATGATACAGTTATTGGCGTACACATTTTCGTACACACACATACGCGCACTAATGGACACACACACACAGACAGGCGCTATATGTCTCCTTACTATTATCATGGTGGGAGCATTATAAAATGCATGTCAGAAAATAGGCAAAATGTCAAGATCTTTCATACTTAAAACTTTACAGAGGAAAGTTGTTGTAATATTAAAATAGGAAAATGCATATTATACAATGCTTGATATGTCTGATATTTTACAGGTATTGTTGGAACAACATTACAAATGGTGCATTGAGCACAAGATTCTTGAAAGATCACAAAAAGGAGAGGCTACAACTGCAACTAGATTGAACAGCAAGTGAAAAAATCAACTCATTAAATGAACTTTTAGTGAAACAAATGACAATCTTTTTAACAAACATTTGAGTTTAATTTGTAGAGTTGAAACAAAATTGATTTCATAAACCTAAAAAAAGCAATTCTTTGGTTAAATATGTATTTTAGGGACAGGTTTTGTGTTTGTGATCATTTGTTGTTTGTTACTGGTTTATTTTCCCAAATGTACCAGGTTTCAGAAAAAAAAATAGATTCTATGAAACATGTGACAATTAAACAAGTATGACAAGCTTATTCTTCAGATGCAAAGAAATCAAAGCATACTTTTTAGGATGGACGTAAAATTAGTATAGACGTAAAATTTAAATTTTGTACGCCCCGCCCGTAAAAGGATTTTACGGGCGTAAATTTAATATAGACGTAAAATCTGGATTTTATATGGCTGTAAAGGGAATATTTACAGGCGTAATTTTTATTTTTAAATTCCTGCTCATTTAAATATTACGTGTCATTTATACGCCAGTAATCCGTGCCATTTAAGGCTGGTTTCCGTGCGTAAAACCGTATTCCAGGCGTAATTTATTCTATAATATTAGAAAAAGCATAAGGCGTATTTTCTTCTGTACGGGCGTAAAATTAAAAAAAAAATCCGTCTATTTTACAGCTTGAAAATTTCATACAGGTATATCTCACTGATGTCAAACAATGAAATTAATTTGTATCACAGAAGATAGTGAGTGATTTGAATTATATCTCACTGATGTAAATAAATGAAATTAATGATGTCAATCAACAGAAATAATCAACAGAAATAATCAGTAAACTTGTGAAACTCGCACTCGCCTCTTCTTGGTAAAAAGCATTGGTCAAGAAAAAAAATGACCAAAATAAAAGAAACCCTGTCACAACAGTTATGTTATATATTCCATCACAGTTACTGAATACAAGGTAATAAAAAAACTACTACAAGAGAGTACACTTACATATTAACCCTGGTAAGATATTTTAGATAAATATTTAAGTTATGTGTAATGGCAGTGGTGAAGGTGTTTGTTGTTTTCGCTCTTGATCACAGCAGTAAGCTACATTGATTTTACAAGAGCACAGTTCATCCACCACATTGTTCCTAAGCAGGCTGTCAAGCAGCTTAGCAGTACTAATTGTCTTCACTTTTGTTAGGAACTTCTGTACATGCCAGAGCAAAGGTACAGTGAGAATGACCGTAGAAAGGATTTCTAATCAATCTCAAAGAAAGTGACCTGCAACGCCCGAGAATCGAACGTGGATCGCCCGATTCGCAGTCCAATGCTCTCCCTATTGAGCTAACCAGACGGTTTTGTGCAACAGCCCTTAAAGAAATATCATTTCTACACACTATTGATAAAGATTTGGTTATGTTTTTATTTTCAGGTACCACTTGTTTCTGGGGCATTAAATAAAGAAATACCACAACCGATCCCTGAAAAGCAATATGGTCATCGTAAATCTGCATCTGATGCAAAACAACAAAGAGGTCTGTTGGCTAGCAATCGTTTGTGCGGAGATAGCATTAACTCGACTTGAAAAGAAAATAAGCACTTAACAGACTGCCTTAGAACCATACTTTTATGTGATTTTGTAGTTGCTCCCCTTTGCTTTTGTTCTTGTTTAATAAATTTTAGGGCCATAAATCTAAAATATTTTATGTATCAATATTAAAATGTAAGTAAAGAGTGATTCAGTGCATAGAAATAGTAACTATATTTTTGAATATAATTAGCTCACCAGAGCCGAAGGTTCAGGGTGAGCTATTAGTATCAAAGGGGTATGCTCCGGCGTCCGTCGTCAACAATTGTCTAATTCTCTGAAACTGCTGGGCAGATTTACTTCCAATTTGGTCTGTAGCATCCATCTGACAGTCATACTTGAATTTGCTCATGTCATTTTAATTGGCCTCTTAAAGGGGTCAACAGAGCTAAAAATAGAAAAACCTTTAAACATCTTCTACTACAGAACTAATTGATGGATGATCACCAAACTTTGTCTGTAGCATTCTTTGGTAGTCTTTAATCAAGTTTGCTCATATTAAAGTGATTGGTCCCTTTACGGGGTGTCTAGGGCTAAAAATAGAACAAAAAACCTTTAAACATCTTCTTCTACAGAGGGATGATCACCAAACTTTGTCTGTAGCATACATGGATAGTCTTTTATCAAGTTTGCTCATATCAATTTGATTGACCCCTTTTAGGGACCGCTTAAGCTAAAAATAGAAATACCTTTAAACGTCTATTTCTTCAGAACTAATTGATGGATGATCACCAAACCTTGTCTGTAGCATTCTTAGGAAGCCTTTTATCAAGTTTGCTCATATTAATTTGATTGACTCCTTTAAGGGGTCTCTAGAGCTAAAAATAGAAAAAAAACATTTAAACTTTTTCTGTAGCATTCTAAGGTAGATTTTTTTATCAAATTTGCTCATATTTATTCGATTGGCCCCTTTTAGAAGTCTCTATGGCTAAAATAGAAATACCTTTAAACGTCTTTTTCTAGAGAACTAATTTATGGATGATCACCAAACTTTGTCGGTAGCATTCTTGGGTAGTCTTTTATCAAATAGAGAAAAACAGAATCCCTAAAGAAAGTACAACACAACAAAATTCGATTGGCCCCTTTTAGGGGTCTCTAGGGCTAAAAATAGAAATACCTTTAAACGTCTTCTTCTACAAAACTAATTGATGGATGATCACCAAACCTATCAAGTTTGCTCATATTAATTTGATTAGCCCCTTTGAGAGGCCGCTAAAGCTAAAAATAAAAATACCTTTAAACGTCTATTTTTAGAGAACTAATTGATACATGATCACCAAACTTTGTCTGTAGCATTCTTGGGTAGTCATTTATTAAGTTTGCTAATATTAATTGAATTGACCCCTTTCAGGGGTGGCTAAAGTTAAAAATAGTTAAACTTTTGAACATCATTTCCTACTGAAATGTTTAATAGATGATCCCCAAATTTTGTCTGCGGCATTCTTGGGTAGTCTTTTATCAGGTTTGCTCATATTTATTTGATTTGCACCTTTAAGGGGCCGCTAAAGATAAAAATAGAAAAAACCTTTGAACATCATTTTCTACTGAAATTATTGATGGATGATTACAAAACTCTGTATGTAGCATTCTTAGGTAGTCTTTTATCAAGTTTGCTCATATATATTCGATTGGCCCATATTATTGGGCCACTAAAGTTGAAATGCCCCAGGCCATGGAATTTCTTCACATTATAGTTTAATAATAAAAGGAAAATAACTCATGTTGAAATGTTTTCCATATAAATGTATATACATGTGAACTCTCCCAATTTGAGCAGGAGACTCCCTCTTTCTCCTGTCAAATTTTTAAATATTTTTCTTAGAATAAGGGGTGTTTTAAAAAAAATAAAGAAATCCGCCTCTTCTTTATTTCAAAATTTCCTACTATGTCTATTGTCAATTAAAAAATATCCCTCTCTTTGAAGTAAATTCTCCTTCTTGAACATTGCAAAAAGTTCTCATGTATGTACATGTTATGCATAAAAAATGAATGTCTTAATGCCATGACCTGTTTGTTTTTTTAGAGATCTTAAAGAAATGATTTGAGGTCCTGTGCTTTGTATATTTCTGTTTGTGCTCTAGAATTGGGACAGTCATTGCATCATTCTATTAATCTTTCTGCAGGTTCATTTGTAGGTCAATACAGGAAATGAAATAAGGCCTAAAGAAATATTACATTAGTTTCCTGTTAAAAATCGTTTCATGCTTTGTCGAAGTTGTCATGTTTTGTTCTTTGTGCTATTTTGGTATCAGTTTCAATTATTTCTATTCAGAATCACATTTTGCAAACATGGCTATCACTTGTTGAAAGTAAATTTGCACTGTTTATATACGATCACTTTTTAACCCTCTATGTTAAGTTGTTTTCTTGTTCACTGAATATATTTCATCAAAACACCTTTTGCTTTTTTTCTCTATGTGTTCAAATAGCAAATGTGTTCTGTCTATCATCACAGGTATATTGGTGAAACACTACTGCAAACCATCATTATTCCTAGGGAACTTATTTTCGTGGTTTCCGTTGATAGGTCAATCCATGAATTTTATATCCAACGAAATCTCATTTCTTCTTTTGTAATATAAGTTTGCATATTAACATCATTTACATTTTACATTTGATAAAAATAATCACCAAATTTTGTCTGTAGCATTCTTAGGTAGTCTTTCATCAAGTTTTCTCATATAAATTTGACTGGCCCTTTTTAGGGGCCTCTAGAGCTAAAAATATAAAAACCTTTAAACGTCTTTTTCTACAGAACTAATTGATGGATGATTGCAAAACTTTGTTTGTAGCATTCTTGAGAGTCTTATATCAAGTTTGCACATATTAATTTGATTGATCACTTTTTAAGGGCCACTAAAACTAAAAATAAAAATACATTTAAACGTCTGTTTCTACAGAACTAATTGATGGATGATCGCAAAACTTTGTCTGTAGCATTCTTGGGAGTCTTATATCAAGTTTGCTGATATTAATTTAATTGACAACTTTTAGGGGCCACTAAATCTAAAAATAAAAATACATTTAAACGTCTATTTCTACAGAACTAATTGATGGATGATCATTAAACTTTTTCTGTAGCATTCTGGGGATGATTTATATCAAGTTTGCTCATATTTATTCGATTGGCCCCTTTTATGGGTCTCTTGGGCTAAAAATAGAAAAACTTTTAAACGTCTTCTTCTACAGAACTAATTGATGTATGATCATCAAACCTTGTCTGGAGCATACTTAGGTAGTCGTTTATCAAGTTTGCTCATATTAATTCGATTGGCCCCTTTCAGGGGTCGCTAAAGCTAAAAATAGAAAAATCTTTGAACATTATTTCCTCCTGAAATTATTGATAGATGATCCCCAAATTTTGTCTGCGGCATTCTTGGGTAGTCTTTTATCAGGTTTGCTCATATTTATTTGATTTGCCCCTTTAAGGTGCCGCTAAAGCTAAAAATAGAAAACACCTTTGAACATCATTTTCTACTGAAATTATTGATGGATGATTGCCAAACTTTGTATGTAGCATTCTTAGGTAGTTTTTTATCAAGTTTGCTCATATGAATTTGATTGATCCCTACAAGGGGGCCACAATAGCTAGAATGCCCCAGGCCATGGCATTTCTTCAAATTATAGTTAAATAATAAAAGGAAAATAACTCATGTTAAAATGTTTTCTACATAAGTGTACATGCATACATGTGAACACTCCCAATTTGAGCAGGAGACTCGCTCTTTCTCTTGTCAAATTTTTTAATATTTTTCTTAGAATAAGGGGTGTTTTGAAAAAATAAAAAACCCGCCTCTTTTTCAATTCAAAATTTCCTACTATGTCTATTGTAAATTAAAAAATCTCCCTCTATTTTGAGTAAATTCTCCTTCTTGAACATTGAAAAAAGTTCACATATATGTACATGTTATGCATAAAAAATTGAATATCTTAATGCCATGACCTGTTTGCTTTTCAGAGATCTTAAAGAAATGAATTGAGGTCATGTGCTTTGTATATTTCTGTTTGTGCGCTAGAATTGGGACAGGCATTGCATCATTCTATTTATCTTTCTGCAGGTTCATTTGTAGGTCAATACAGGAAATGAAATAAGGCCTAAAGAAATATTACATTAGTTTCCTGTTAAAAACCGTTTCATTTTTTGTCGAAGTTGTCATTTTTTTGTTCTTTGTGCTATTGTGGTATCAGTTTCAATTATTTCTATTCAGAATCACATTTTGCAAACATGGCTATCACTTGTTGAAAGTAACTTTGCACTGTTCATATAAGATCACTTTTTTACCCTGTATGTTAACTTGTTTTCTTGTTTACTGAATACATTTCATCAAAACACCTTTTGCTTTTTTTCTCTATGTAGTTAAAGTTACAATTTTTCCCACTTCTAATAGAGAGTAAGATAATTAACCTGAAATGTTCACTTTCTGGTTGAGTTGACTAGTATACCTGTGTTATCTTAAATAAATATTGACCGGTGGTGTCATCCTGACAAACAGTTTACATGTATATCTAAATATTGAGATTATATATTTATCTCATTTTTTAAATAAGTAAAAAATAAAGACAGATCACAATTTTGATAGACAGTCATAGGCAAATTTTATCACAAATTAATGGATGGATGATCACCAAACTTGGTTCCAATCATTTTTAATATAAAGAATATATATCAGTGTCGGGAAACCATAAACTAGAGAGGTAAGTTGAAGTTGACCTTAACTTGTCTTTCTACAAGTTTATTTCAAAACAAAATTCTATAATCACTAAAAACAGTTGTTTCTGGTGAGCGATTCAAGGTCATCATGGCCCTCTTGTTGTATTTTTTTTTCTCTGAGGTAAATTTTTTTAAAAAGCTTCAATAAAGTGATTTGAATCTACCTGTACAAATAGAACCTGAACCTATTCATGAAATGGAACCTGAATCTACTTATACAATTATAAAAACAATAAGCTCTTTTAGAAATTTGTGCTTTTTACAAGTTTTTTTCAGTTCCTTTATAAAAAATATAATGGTATATCACAGTTTATTTTCCTCATAAATATTACATTTTCTGTTCCAAAGGAACATTAACAACAAACCGCTACAATTAAAATTCAAAAAGAAAAGACTTTCGAATGGGATTAATTTTGTACAGATGTTGTGAAGGAAAAACACTGACATAACATATTATTTCTTTTCAGACGAGGTTGATGGTAGAGCTCCTCAAAAGGGTAAGCGTCAAATAGCAAGTGTCTTCTGTCTATCATCACAGTTATATTGGTGAAACACTACTGCAAACCATCATTATTCGTAGGGAACTTATTTTCGTGGTTTCCGTTGATAGGTCAATCCATGAATTTTATATCCAACGAAATCTCGTTTCGTCTTTTGTTATATAAGTTTGCATATTAACATCATTTACATTTTACATTTGATAAAAATAATCACCAAATTTTGTCTGTAGGATTCTTAGGTGGTCTTTCATCAAGTTTTCTCATATTAATTTGACTGGCCCCTTTTTAGGGGCCTCTAGAGCTAAAAATAGAAAAACCTTTAAACGTCTTTTTTCTACAGAACTAATTGATGGATGATCGCAAAACTTTGTCTGTAGTATTCTTGGGAGTCTTATATCAAGTTTGCACATATTAATTTGATTGTCCACTTTTAGGGGCCACGAAAGTTAAAAATAGAAATACATTTAAACGTCTGTTTCTACAAAACTCATTGATGGATGATAATTAAACTTTTTCTGTAGCATTCTTGGGATGTCTTATATCAAGTTTGCTTATATTTATTCGATTGATCCCTTTTATGGGTCTCTTGGGCTAAAAATAGAAAAACATTTAAACGTCTTATTCTACAGAACTAATTGATGGATAATCACCAAACCTTCTCTAGAGCATACTTAGGTAGTCGTTTATCAAGTTTACTCATATTAATTCGATTGGCCCTTTCAGGGGTCGCTAAAGCTAAAAATAGAAAAATCTTTGAACATTATTTCCTCCTGAAATTATTGATAGATGATCCCCAAATTTTGTCTGCGGCATTCTTGGGTAGTCTTTTATCAGGTTTGCTCATATTTATTTGATTTGCACCTTTACGGGGCCGCTAAAGATAAAAATAGAAAAAACCTTTGAAAATGATTTTCTACTGAAATTATTGATGGATGATTACCAAACTCTGTATGTAGCATTCGTAGGTAGTCTTTTATCAAGTTTGCTCATATATATTCGATTGGCCCATATTATGGGGATGCCCCAAGCCATGGAATTTCTTCACATTATAGTTTAATAATAAAAAGAAAATAACTCATGTTGAAATGTTTTCCATATAAATGTATATGCATGTGAACTCTCCCAATTTGAGCAGGAGACTCCCTCTTTCTCCTGTCAAATTTTTTATTATTTTTCTTAGAATAAGGGGTGTTTTAAGAAAAATAAAGGAATCCGCCTCTTCTTTATTTCAAAATTTCCTACTATGTCTATTGTCAATTAAAAAATATCACTCTCTGTGAAGTAAATTCTCCTTCTTGAACATTGTAAAAAGTTCACATGTATGTACATGTTAGGCAAAAAAATGAATGTCTTAATGCCATGACCTGTTTGTTTTTTAGAGATCTTAAAGAAATGATTTGAGGTCATGTGCTTTGTATATTTCATTTTGTGCGCTAGAATTGGGACAGGCATTGCATCATTCTATTAATCTTTATGCAGGTTCATTTGTAAGGTCAATACAGGAAGTGAAATAAGGCCTAAAGAAATATAATATTAGTTTCCTGTTAAAAATCGTTTCATTTTTGTCGAAGTTGTCATTTTTTGTTCTTTGTGCTATTTTGGTATCAGTTTCAGTTATTTTTATTCAGAATCACATTTTGCAAACATAGCTATCACTTGTTGAAAGTAACTTTGCACTGTTCATATAAGATCACTTTTTTTCCCTGTATGTTAAGTTGTTTTCTTGTTCACTGAATATATTTCATCAAAACACCTTTTGCTTTTTTTCTCTATGTAGTTAAAATGACAATTTTTCCCATTTCTATAAGAGAGTAAGATAATTAACTTGAAATGTTCACTTTCTGGTTGAGTTGACTAGTATACCTATGCTATCTTAAATAAATATTGACAGTTGGTGTCATCCTGACAAACAGTATACATGTATATCTAAATACTGAGATTATGTAATTATCTCATTTTTAAAAATAAGTAAAAAAAGAGAAAGATCACATGTTTAAAAGACAGTCACAGGCAAATTGTATCACAAATTAATGGATGGATGATCACAAATCTTGGTTCCAATCATTTTAACTATAAAGATAATATATCAGTGTCGGGAAACATTATAACTAGAGAGGCAAGTTGACCTTGACTTGTCTTTCTACAAGTTTATTTGAAAAACTATTTCTATAATCACTGAAAAACAGTTGTTTCTGGTGAGTGATTCAGGGTCATCATGGCCCTCTTGTTTTTTTCTCTGAGGTAAATATTGCTAAAAAGCTTCAATAAAGTGATTTGAATCTAACTGTACAAATAGAACCTACCTATACAAATAGAACCTGAACCTACTCATGTAATGGAACCTGAATCGACTTATACAATTTTTTTAAAACAATAATCATTATCAGAAAAGTGTGCTTCTTACAAGTTTTTTTTTTCAGTCGCACAAATTCTATACCTTTATAAAAATATAATGGTATGTCACAATTTGTTTTCCTCATAAATATTACATTTTCTGTTCCAAAGGAACATTAACAACAAAACGCTACAAGTAAAATTCAAAAAGAAAAGACTTTCGAATGGGATTAATTTTGTACAGATGTTGTGAAGGAAAAAAACTGACATAATATATTATTTCTTTTCAGACGAGGTTGATGGTAGAGCTCCTCAAAAGGGTAAGCGTCAAATAGCAAGTGTCTTCTGTCTTTTATCACAGGTATATTGGTGAAACATTACTGCAAACCATCATTATTCGTAGGGAACTTATTTTCGTGGTTTCCGTTGATAGGTCAATCCATGAATTTTATATCCAACGAAATCTCGTTTCGTCTTTTGTCAGATAAGTTTGCATATTAACTTCATTTACATTTTATATTTGATAAGAATAATCACAAAACTTTGTCTGTAGCATTCTTAGGTAGTCTTTCATCAAGTTATCTCATATTCATTTGACTGGCCCTTTTTAGGGGCCTCTAGAGCTTAAAATAGAAAAACCTTTAAACGTCTATTTCTACAGAACTAATTGATGGATGATCGCAAAATTTTGTCTGTAGCATTCTTGGGAGTGTTATATCAAGTTTGCTCATATTAATTTAATTGACCACTTTTAGGGGCCACTCAAGCTAATAATAGAAATACATTTAAACGTCGTCTATTTCTACAGAACTAATTGATGGATGATCATTAAACTTTGTCTGTAGCATTCTGGGGATGTCTTATATCATGTTTGCTCATATTTTTTCGATTGGCCCCTTTTATGGGTGTCTTGGGCTTAAAATAGAAAAACCTTTTAACGTCTTCTTCTACAGAAGTAACTAATGGATGATCACCAAACCTTGTCTGTAGCATACTTCGGCAGTAGTTTATCAAATTTGCTCATATTAATTTGATTTGCCCATTTCAGGGGTCGCTAAAGCTAAAAATAGAAAAATCTTTGAACATCATTTCCTACTGAAATTATTGATGGATGATCCCCAAATTTTGTCTGCGGCATTCTTTGGTAGTCTTTTATCAGGTTTGCTCCTATTTATTTGACTTGCCCCTTTAAGGGGCAGTTTAAGCTAAAAATAGAAAAAACCTTTGAACATCATTTTCTACTGAAATTATTGATGGATGATTACCAAACTTTGTATGTAGCATTCTTAGGTAGTCTTTTATCAAGTTTGCTCATATTAATTTGATTCATCCCTACTAGGGGGCCACTAAAGCTAAAATACCCCAGGCCATGGCATTTTTTTTCAAATTATAGTTTAATAATAAAAGGAAAATAAGTCATGTTGAAATGTTTTCCACATAAGTGTACATGCATACATATGAACATTCCCAATTTGAGCAGGAGATTCGCTCTTTCTCCTGTCAAAATTTTAAATATTTTTCTTAGAATAAGGGTGTTTTAATAAAAATAAAAAATCCGCCTCTTTTTCATTTCAAAATATTAGTTTCCTGTTAAAAATCGTTTCATTTTTTTGTCGAATTTGTCATTTTTTGTTCTTTGTGCTATTTTGGTATCAGTTTCAATTATTTCTATTCAGAATTACATTTTGCAAACATGGTTATCACTTGTTGAAAGTAACTTTGCACTGTTCATATAAGATCACTTTCTTACCATGTATGTTAAGTTGTTTTCTTGTTCACTGAATACATTTCATCAAAACACCTTTTGCTTTTTTCCTCTATGTAGTTAAAATTTAATGATTAAGCGAGACTTACCTTCGTAGAAGTAAGGTGAAGATTGATCATAATTTCATCCGACACAAAACTCCCTAAGGGCTCACACAGATTACAGACGCAGCGATCAGCGATGTGGAGTGGTCATATTTTAAAGTTTATATCTTATGTATAAGATGACAATATTTAAAGAAATCCGTTTTGGGTGGTAGTGGGCGGGCGTGTGAGCCCTTAGGGAGTTTTGTGTCGGATGAAATTATGATCAATCTTCACCTTACTTCTACGAAGGTAAGTCTCGCTTAATCATTAAATTTCATCCAACACATAAACTCCCTTAAAGGGCCCCACAGATTGTTCAGAGAGATTTCTGATAAAATATTGTAAAAGGAAAAAACGAGTACGCCAATAATAACAAGAAACATATGTATGGCTTACTACATATTATTGTAAACTAATATCATGCAATGAAATATACATGTATAGATAACTGGGCGATAACTGTATTGTGTAAACATCATTATGTATTTACTATTGCCCGTACTTAATATCTGATAAACATGAATGAGATTCATTCTAGAACAAAATTTTGAGTTTCAGTGGTAAGAATCTGTCTTTGATAATATTTAGCAAATGTCTTTGCTGTACTCCATCCGCGGTTTTTTATTATGTCAGATAAAGGATTCCTTTATAAAAAGCATTTGACGTCGATGCTGATCTTGTACTATGAGGTTTGAATGTGTCAGCAAGGCCTGCTTTCATCATTGTTAATTTAATCCATCGTGCTATTGTTTGTTTGGAAACCTGTTTATGTGGTTTTACTGTGGAAATAATAAGTGACTCATCTATTCTTAAATGTTCACTTCTAGCGATATAGTTATTTAAAGTTGTTACAATACATAGATTCTTTTTTAATTTATACGGCTGTAAAATAATCGGTTCTAAACTGAACCCTGGTCTTGACTGTTTCAAAAGAGTTGATATTTGAATGAAAATGTTTTCACCTACTCTTTTAATGTCAGATAATTTTATAGTATGCAAAGTTTGGCATCTTTGAGCCGTAACAAGTAAAAATAGCATGCACAATTTACATGATAATGATAGAAAGGATGTAGTATCCATCTTTTCTAAGTAGTTTAGAACGATTTTTACGTCCCATGTTACTTTGTATCGTGGCCGTGGTGGTTTTTCATTAAAAATCCCCTTCATAACACGTGATATTATTTCGTTTTCATGTATGTTTACCTGACCAGTAATTCTCACAAATTACTAACAGCTGAACGTGCTGTGTTTATTGCAGAGTAACTCAGTCCTTGCTTGTGTAAATAAACAAGAAATTTGATAATATCGTTTATATTGGAATTAAAGGGATTAGCTTCCCGTCCACAGAAATGTAACCATTTTTTAACATATGAGTTGTACTGTTTTCTTGTGCTTTTTCTCCAGGACTGTATGATGATGTCTCGAGCGTCTCTCGGTATACCTTTGCCTTCGTAAACCTGCCCTGATATATCGAAAACAGCAAGTCTCATCTTTTTCAGAGGATGCCTTTTGATTTGGTTTGTGTTCTAGTTTTCAGAATTTTTTCCCCTTTTGGGAGAATCAAGCATGGACCTTTTATCAATCTCATGAGAATTGGCCACCACGTCTGGGTAGGCCAGATTGGTGCTATCAAATTGCTTTTCCGTGGTCTCTTTCTATCTTTTGAAGGATGCGTGCTATCAAGCTGAAAGGTGAAAATATGTAAAATAAATTATCACACCACTTAAATGTGAATGCATCTACTGCAATAGCGGATGGATCGGGATATCGCGAAACATACTTTTTAAGTTTTGCATTCAATCTTGATGCAAATAAATCAATTTTAATGTTCTGGTGATGTTTTAAGATTTTATCAAAAATTCCTTGTTCTAAAGACCATTCAATATCATCATTTCCAGTTCTGCTAAGTTTGTCAGCGTGTGTGTTCGATAAGCCAGCAATATGGGCTGCCGTTAACATAATATTTCTTTCAATGCACCAGAACCATATTCTTCGTGCAATATCGTCGAGAGCTCGAACCTTACCTCCATATCTATTAATGTACGAACACATGTTGTGTTGTCCGTATACAATTTCACAAGAATATTTTTTAAGAGATTTACAAAAAGTGCGTAAGCCAATTTCACAAGCTTTCATTTTCTAAAATATTTATATTGAAGTTTTTGTTCTTCATGCGACCAGAAACCATTTGTTTTTTGACCGTTAGTTTCATTGAATGCCCCCGAACATTTTTAATGAAGCGTCAGTGTATATAACAGTGTTCGGATCTTGCGACAAAAAATATTTTTAAAACTAATCTGTATATTTTCTATCCACCAAAGTAAGGTTGTATGTATTGACTGCGGTACATTCATGAAATTGTCGAAATTTCCCTTGTGAAGTTTTAATTCATTCTCTTTTATTTTTTCAAGCGGTCGGATATATAGTGGTGCATGTTTAACTCCCGGCTCAGCCGCCGTGAGTTTCCCGATAAGTTTAGCAAAGACACGAATAGTGATTCGTTTGGTGTTTAGTACTTTCGAACAAAGGTTAATTATATCTTCCCCCTTTTCAAATGTTAGTTTAACTGTCGTGGATTCAGAACACAGTACGAAGCCTAAAAAGACTTTTTCTGATTTACCGTTAATCCGAGTTTATCCATTAAGTGCACAGTTTCGTTCACATTACGCATACATGACTGATAAGAATCTCCTACTAGCCAAGAATCATCAATGAAATAAACACTAACATGACCTAATGACCTAAGATAAGCGAACACAGGTTTCAGTATCTTTGTGAAAATTCGAGGGCTGGATGAATACCCCATAACTAATGCTGTAAATTGATATTTTATATCATTGAAGTAGAATCGGAAATAACGCCGGTCCTGTTCTCTAATGGTTATGGAGTAGAAAGCATCTGCTAGGTCAACTGAGGCCATAAAATAATCTTTTCTCATAGCGTTAATTGCAGATTTAAGGGATTCCATTTTAAAGTGATGTTTTTCTATATATAACTCATTAAACTGTTTTAGGTTCAAAATTATTCGTACACGATCATCTTTTTTAGGTCTTATAAAAATGTTTGATATGAATTCATTATCTAAATTATCTTCCACTTTCTCTATAACTCCAATGTTTAAAAATCTATTAAGTTCGTTCTCAATCTTTCTTTTTTCCTCTTTAGTAAAATTAATAGGTTTAGGAATTATGTTTTGCTTTGGAATTTCATTTAATTCAACTGAACAACCTCTAATGTTATTTAAAATCCACTTGTCAGTTGTAATGGTTTTCCATATGCTAATATTATCAGCTGTCTTACCGGCATGAAAATTTTCTGTTGTGTTTTGGACACTTATATTTATATTTGTACTTACATTTATTATTTTCTCCCCATTTTCCCCTTCTTTGGTTGATTTAGTTGGCGATGCTGTGTTGTATTCCAAGCTAGTTTGTTGTTTCGTGGAGGGAAGGCCGGTGTGCTTTGGATACTCTGGTGTTGGTTGTAGTTGTTGAACCCCCTCCCTTTTTCGATAAAAAGGTTGCCTGGTAGATGTAAGATTAGTTTTTGTTTCTTTAAGATGTTTTATTTCTTCTTGAAGTTTGTCCCCAAAAAGTTTGGTTGCTGATGAAGGTTGATTACACAATGGTTTGTATGATGGCAGAAGATCTTTTTTTTGATTTTTTTCCCTTCGCGCATCGTTTGGATTGATTAATTCCGTACGCTAATATTTTGAATGTATCGGCTGCAAGATCTCGTGCCTCTGATGCAGGTCCTTTCTCTTTAAGATTTTGCATTAGTTTTAGTGTGGGAACAAGTGCATGGCATAATGTAAATTGGTTTTTCTGCATTGCATAATCAAATGTTTTTGGTTTCTCGTCTTAAACTGTCGCCATAATTGTTCATCTACCTTTGTGACTTGTAGATTTTCCACATTATTTGGTCTTTTATGCTTTATTTTCAAGCTGGCGACTTTGTCATCCTTAGGTTTCGCTCTTAAAACCGAATTTGCCAATGTTGCCAAATCTGGCAGAATTTCCTCTCCGTTTCAAGATTTTCTTCAAAAAAATCAGATATCTCAGCCCATTCGCTCTCGTTGATGCTCCCTTGGGTTGCCTCATTCTGGTCAGCTAAAAATGAGGCTATTGCGTCATCACTGTCCGAATCTTCGGAACCGGATGCGCCATTTTCTGCCTCCATCAGTTTTATGCGTTTAGATGAAGTTTCGCCATTTTCCGTTTTCCTCTTGTTTTTTAATGAAACAATTTTCGTGTTTCATAAATTCCATTGATTCGTGCATTATCTTTATAGATTCCGTGATCTCCGAAATCTGATCACCTCCATTAGATGATATCGTCTGGTTCCCCATGGCGGCTAACGAGAAAATATGTTATGATGCTCATGCGCATCTTCAATGACCTCGTCATTTCCGCCCTGGCGCTCTGCCAAGTTTGTCTGTAAGATAAAATGCCCGCTAGGAATTTTCGGGTTGATGAAGGCTCAGGAAAAAATGAGCAATTACGTATGTTATATCTCATACTTAATACATAACAAATAAAGAAATGTGGTATCCATTTCAATTTTAGCATAAAACGCTTATCCATCATTAAAAGATGTTTGATGTCTTACTTCATTTTTCTAAATTAGAATAGAAAATGTGATATACATTTTATCTATCTTAAATATGAAAGAACGATGTAGATCCATCGTGTAGTGGTTAAATTTTTAAGGAACATCCGTAGATGATACTATGATTATTTTGCACATTTGAATTTTGCAGTGTTCCTTTTATATTACATAGTAATATAAGTTTTAACAATTATAAACATAAAAGCAAATAAATAAAAGAAATAAATAAATATATATATTTTATATATATATAAGATATATTAATATCATGACATACCTCATCAGGTTCACTCATGTTTAATATCCAATGATTAACACTTAATAACTTGACTTAAAACAAAATTATTGAAGAACTTTGTTTAATTTAATATAAAATTAATGGTAGCAGTTAATTATTTTAATCTAAGAATTTTCCGTCCACTCCGTTATCGCTAATGCCTCGTTATGACCACTCCACATCGCTGATCGCTGCGTCTGTAATCTGTGGGGCCCTTTAAGGGAGTTTATGTGTTGGATGAAATTACAATTTGTCCCATTTCTATTAGAGAGTAAGATAATTAACCTGAAATGTTCACTTTCTGGTTGAGTTGACTAGTATACCTATGTTATCTCAAATTAATATTGACAGCTGATGTCATCCTGACAAACAGTATACATGTATATCTAAATACTGAGATTATGTAATTATCTCATTTTTAAAATAAGTAAAAAAAACCCAGAAAGATCACAATTTTGATAGACAGTAATAGGCAAATTTTATCACAAATTAATGGATAGATGATCACCAAACTTGGTTCCAATCATTTTTACCATAAAGAATATATATCAGTGTCGGGAAACCTTATAACTCGATAGGCAAGTTGAAGTTGACCTTGACGACTTGTCTTTCTACAGGTTTATTTAAAAAAAAAATATTTCTATAATCACTGAAAAACAGTTGTTTCTGGTGAGCGGTTCAGGGCCATCATGGCCCTCTTGTTGTTTTTTTTCTCTGAGATAAATATTGCTAAAAAGCTACAATAAAGTGATTTGAATCTACCTGTACAAATAGAACCTACCTATACAAATAGAACCTGAACCTACTCATGTAATGGAACCTGAAACTACTTATACAATTTTTTAAAACAATAACCTCTATCAGAAAAGTGTGCTTTTTACAAGTTTTTTTCAGTCGCACAAATTATATACCTTTATAAAAATAAAATGGTATTTCACAGTTTGTTTTCCTCATTAATATTACATTTTCTGTTCCAAAGAAACATTAACAACAAAACGCTACAAGTAAAACGTAAAGAAAAGACTTTCGAATGGGATTAATTTTGTACCGATGTTGTGAAGGAAAAACACTGACATAACATATTATTTCTTTTCAGACGAGGTTGATGGTAGAGCTCCTCAAAAGGGTAAGCGTCAAATAGCAAGTGTCTTCTGTCTTTTATCACAGGTATATTGGTGAAACACAACTGCAAAACATCATTATTCGTAGGGGACTAATTTTCGTGGTTTCCGTTGATAAGTCAATCCATTAGTTTTATATCCAACGAAATCTCATTTCGTCTTTTGTAAGATAAGTTTGAATATTAACATCATTTACATTTTACATTTGATAAAAATAATCACTTAACTTTGTCTGAAACATTCTTAGGTAGTCTTTTATCAAGTTTTCTCATATTAATTTGACTTGCCCCTTTTAGGGGTCTCTAGAGCTAAAAATAGAAATACCTTTAAACGTCTATTTCTACAGAACTAATTGATGGATGATCACAAAACTTTGTAGCATTCTTGGGAGTCTTATATCAGGTTTGGTCATATTAATTTGATTGGCCCCTTTCAGGGGCAACTAAAGCTAAAAATAGAAATACCTTTAAACGTCTTTTTCTACAGGACTAATTGATGGATGATCACAAAACTTTGTCTGTAGCATTCTTATGTTGTCTTCTATCAAGTTTGCTCATATTAATTTGATTGGCCCCTTTTAGAAAACGCTAAAGCTAACAATAGTAAAACCTTTAAACGTCTATTGCTACAGAATTAATTGACGGATTATCACCAAACATTGTCTGTAGCATTCTTAGGTTGTCTTTTATCAAGTCTGCTCATATTAATTTGATTGGCCCCTTTTAGAAAACGCTAAAGCTAACAATAGTAAAACTTTTAAACGTCTATTTCTACAGAACTAATTGACGGATGATCACCACACATTGTCTGTAGCATTCTTAGGAAGTCGTTTATCAAGTCTGCTCATATTAATTCGACTGGCCCCTTTCAGAGGCTGCCAAAGCTTAAATTAGAAAAACCTTTGAACATCATTTCCTACTGAAATTATTGATGGATGATCCCCAAATTTTTTTTCTGCGGCATTCTTTGGTAGTCTTTTATCAGATTTACTCATATTTTTTTGACTAGCCACTTGAAGGGGCCGCTTAAGCTAAAAATAGAAAAAAACCTTTGAACATCATTTCCTACTGAAATTATTGATGGATGATCCCCAAATTTTGTCTGCGGCATTCTTTGGTAGTCTTTTATCAGGTTTGCTCAAATTTATTTGACTTGCCCCTTTAAGGGACCGCTTAAGCTAAAAATAGAAAAAAACTTTGAACATTTTTTCTACTGAAATTATTAATGGATGATTACCAAACTTTGTATGTAGCATTCTTATACAGTCTTTTATCAAGTTTGCTCTTATCAATTTGATTGATCCCTACTAGGGGGCCACTTAAGCTATAATGCCCCATGCCATGGCATTTCTTCAAATTATAGTTTAATAATAAAAGGAAACAAGTCATGTTGAAATGTTTTCCACATAAGTGTACATGCATAAATGTGAACACTCCCAATTTGAGCAGGAGACTCGCTCCTGTCAAGTTTTTAAATATTATTCTTAGAATTAGGGGTGTTTTAAAAAATTAAAAAAAATCCGCCTCTTTTTCATTTTAAAATATTAGTTTCCTGTTAAAAATCATTTCAGTTTTTGTCGAATTTGTTATTTTTTGTTTTTTGTGCTATTTTGGTATCAGTTTCAATTATTTCTATTCAGAATTACATTTTGCAAACATGGTTATCACTTGTTGAAAGTAACTTTGCACTGTTCATATAAGATCACTTTCTTACGATGTATGTTTAGTTGTTTTATTGTTCACTGAATACATTTCATCAAAACACCTTTTGCTTTTTTCTCTATGTAGTTAAAATTACAATTTTCCCATTTCTATTAGAGAGTAAGATAATTAACCTGAAATGTTCACTTTCTGGTTGAGTTGACTAGTATACCTATGTTATCTTAAATAAATATTGACCGGTGGTGTCATCCTGACAAACAGTATACATGTATATCTAAATACTGAGATTATGTAATTATCTCATTTTTAAAATAAGTAAAAAAACAAGAGAAAGATCACATGTTTGAAAGACAGTCATATGCAAATTGTATCACAAATTAATGGATGGATGATCACCAAACTTGGTTCCAATCATTTTTACTATAAAGATTATATATCAATGTCGGGAAACCTTATAACTAGAGAGGCAAGTTGAAGTTGACCTTGACTTGTCTTTCTACAAGTTTATTTGAAAAAATATTTCTATAATCACTGAAAAACAGTTGTTTCTGGTGAGCGATTCAGGGTCATCATGGCCCTCTTGTTTTTTTTTCTCTGAGGTAAATATTGCTAAAAAGCTTCAATAAAGTGATTTGAATCTAACTGTACAAATAGAACCTATCTATACAAATAGAACCTGAACCTACTCATGCAATGGAACCTGAATCTACTTATACAATTTTTTTTAAAACAATAAGCACTATCAGAAAAGTGTGCTTCTTACAAGTTTTTTTCAGTCGCACAAATTCTATACCTTTATAAAAATATAATGGTATGTCACAATTTGTTTTCCTCATAAATATTACATTTTCTGTTCCAAAGGAACATTAACAACAAACCGCTACAAGTAAAATTCTAAAAGAAAAGACTTTCGAATGGGATTAATTTTGTACAGATGTTGTGAAGGAAAAACACTGACATAATATATTATTTCTTTTCAGACAAGGTTGATGGTAGAGCTCCTCAAAAGGGTAAGCGTCAAATAGCAAGTGTCTTCTGTCTATCATCACAGGTATATTGGTGAAACACTACTGCAAACCATCATTATTCGTAGGGAACTTATTTTCGTGGTTTCCGTTGATAGGTCAATCCATGAATTTTATATCCAACGAAATCTCGTTTCGTCTTTTGTCAGATAAGTTTGCATATTAACTTCATTTACATTTTATATTTGATAAAAATAATCACAAAACTTTGTCTGTAGCATTCTTAGGTAGTCTTTTATCAAGTTTTCTCATATTAATTTGACTGGCCCCTTTTAGGGGTCTATAGATCTAAAAATAGAAAACCTTTAAACGTCTATTTGTACAGAACTAATTGATGGATGATCACAAAACTTTGTAGCATTCTTGGGAGTCTTATATCAGGTTTGGTCATATTAATTTGATTGGCCCCTTTCAGGGGCACCTAAAGCTAAAAATAGAAATACATTTAAACGTCTATTTCTACAGGACTAATTGATGGATGATCACAAAACTTTGTCTGTAGCATTCTTAGGTAGTCTTTTATCAAGTTTACTCATATTAATTTGCTTGGCCCCTTTTAGAAGCCGCCAAAGCTAACAATAGAAATGCATTTAAACGTCTATTTCTACAGAACTAATTGATGGATGGTCACCAAACTTTGATTGTAGCATTCTTAGGTTGTCTTTTATCAAGTTTGCTCATATTAATTCGATTTGCACTTTTAAGAGGTCGCGAAAGCTAAAAAAAGAAAAACATTTGAACATCATTTCCCACTAAAATTATTGATAGATGATCCCCAAATTTTGTCTCCGGCATTCTTGGGTAGTCTTTTATGAGGTTTGCTCCTATTTATTTGACTTGCCCCTTTAAGGGGCCGCTTAAGCTAAAAATAGAAAAAACCTTTGAACATCATTTCCTACTGAAATTATTGATGGATGATTACCAAACTTTGTATGTAGCATTCTTAGGTAGTCTTTTATCAAGTTTGCTCATATTAATTTGATTGATCCCTACTAGGGGGCCATTAAAGCTAAAATGCCCCAGGCCATAGTATTTCTTCAAATTATAGATTAATATTAAAAGGGAAATAACTCATGCTGAAATGTTTTCCACATAAGTGTACATGCATAAATGTGAACTCTCCCAATTTGAGCAGGAGACTCGCTTTTTCTACAATAAGGGGTGTTTTAAAAAAAATAAAGAAATAAAGGGATTAATTTTGTACCGATGTTGTGAAGGAAAAACACTGACATAACATATTATTTCTTTTCAGACGAGGTTGATGGTAGAGCTCCTCAAAAGGGTAAGCGTCAAATAGCAAGTGTCATAACAGGTATATTGGTGAAACACTACTGCAAACCATCATTATTCGTAGGGAACTAGTTTTCGTGGTTTCCGTTGATAGGTCAATCCATGAATTTTATATCCAACGAAATCTCGTTTCTTCTTTTGTTATATAAGTTTGCATATTAATATCATTTACATTTTACATTTGATAAAAATAATCACCAAACTTTGTGTGTGGCATTCGTAGGTAGTCAGTTATCAAGTTTTCTCATATTAATCTGACTGGCCCCATTTATGGGTCTCTAGAGCTAAAAAAGAAAACCTTGAAACGTCTATTTCTACAGAAATAATTGATGGATGATCACAAAACTTTGTCTGTGCTCATATTACTTTGATTGGCCTATTTACGGGTCTCTAGAGCTAAAATAGGAAAACCTTTCAACGTCTATTTCGACAGAACTAATTGATGGATGATCACCAAACCTTGTCTGTAGCATTCTTGGGTAGTCTTTTATTAAGTTTGCTTATATTAATTTGATTGGCCCCTTCTAGGGGCCGCTAAAGCTAACAATAGAAATACTTTTAAACGTCTATTTCTACAAAACTCATTGATGGATGATCACCAAATTTTACCTGTAGCATTGTCGGGTAGTCTTATATCAAGTTTGTTCATATTAGTTTGATTGGTCCCCTTTATGGGTCGCTAAAGTTAAAAATACAGAAACCTTTGAACATCATTTCCTACTAAAATTTTGATAGATGATCCCAAAATTTTGTCTGCAGCATTCTTAGGTAGTCTTTTATCAGGTTTGCTCATATTTATATGATTTGCCCCTTTTAGGGGCCGCTAAAGCTAAAAATACAAAAAAAACCTTTGAACATCATTTTCTACTGAAATTATTGATGGATGATTTCCAAACTTTGTATGTAGCATTCTTAGATAGTATTTTATCAAGTTTGCTCATATTAATTTGATTGATCCCTATTACGGGGCCACTAAAGCTATAAATAAAATATACCTTTAAACGTCTATTTCTACAGAACTAATTGATGGATGATCACAAAACTTTGTCTGTAGCATTCTTAGGTAGTTTTTTATCAAGTTTGCTCATATTAATTCGATTGGCTCCTTTTAGGGGTATCTAGGGCTAAAAATATTAAAACCTTTTAACGTCTTCTTCTACAGAACTAATTGATGGATGATCACAAAACCTTGTATGTTGCATTCTTGGGTAGTCTTTTATCAACTTTGCTCATATTGATTTCATTGGCCCTTCTTAGAGGCCGCTAAAGCTAACAATAGAAAAACATTGAAACATCTATTTCTACAGAACTATTTGATGAATGATCACCAAACTTTGTCTGTGACATTCTTGGGTAGTCAGTTATCAAGTTTTCTTATATTAATTTGACTGGCCCCATTATGGGTCTCTAGAGCTAAAAATAGAAAACCTTGAAACATCTATTTCTACAGAACTAATTGATGGATGATCACAAAACTATGTCTGTAGCATTCTTAGGTAGACTTGTATCAGGTTTGCTCATATTAATTTGATTGGCCCCTTTTACGGGTCTCTAGAGCTAAAATTGGAAAACCTTTAAACGTTTATTTCTACAGAACTAATTGATGGATGATCACAAAACTTTGTCTGTAGCATTTTTGTGCTGTCTTATATCAAGTCATCGTCGGATACCCACGATTGATAAACATGTCACATAACATGCGATCAACCGTGGGTAAAATGAATCGAATTTGCGTCGATATACAGCAACAGGTGCGTAAAATATCTACCAATGACATCGCGTTTAACAAATCTATATTCTTCAACAGCGGAGGTAAAAAACAATAAGAAATAAAATGGCAGCGCCAATGGTTAAAAACTGTTGCCTGTGTCTTGCTAAAATCAATGGCAAAAACTATCGCCAAACCAGTTCTTCTGCAAGCAGATATTAATCAGAAAAGAAAACATCACGCTGTAAAAGTACATAATCTATACTTTCTTGTTTGAAATCGTTTAATTATACGATGTTGAACTTTTCACGTCGTCTATGGTTGTCGCAATATTGTTTGGAATACCGAACGTCGTACAGAACGAGCGTTTTGATTGGTTTTAATCGCCTCATGAAATCGTGAGGCAGCCAATGAAACAGTTGCCTTTGACACACCTCTAATCGACTGAATATCGGCAAAAAATCCCACGGCTGAAATGTTAATGGTTCGGCCGTGGGTATCCGACGATGATATCAAGTTTACTCTTATGAATTTGATTGGCCTGTTGCATTCTTAGGTAGTCTTTTATCAAGTTTCCTCATATTAATTTGGTTGGCCCCTTTTACGGTCTCTAGAGCTAAAATTGGAAAACTTTTAAACGTCTATTGCTACAGAACTAATTGATGGATGATCACAAAACTAGGTCTGTAGCATTCTTAGATAGTCTTTTATCAAGTTTGCTCATATTACTTTGATTGGCCTCTTAAACGGGTCATTAGAGCTAAAATAGGAAAACCTTTCAACGTCTATTTCTACAGAACTAATTGTTGGATGATCACCAAACCTTGTCTGTAGCATTCTTGGGTAGTCTTTTATCAAGTTTGCTTATATTAATTTGATTGGCCCCTTCTAGGGGACGCTAAAGCTAACAATAGAAATACTTTTAAACGTCTATTTCTACAAAACTCATTGATGGATGATCACCAAATTTTGTCTGTAGCATTGTTGGGTAGTCTTATATCAAGTTTGTTCATATTAATTTCATTGGTCCCTTTATGGGTCGCTAAAGCTAAAAATAGAGAAAACTTTGAATATCATTTCCTACTGAAATTTTGATAGATGATCCAAAAATTTTGTCTGCAGCATTCTTAGGTAGTCTTTTATCAGGTTTGCTCATATTTATTTTATTTGCACATTTTAGGGGCCGCTAACGCTAAAAATACAAAAACCCTTTGAACATCATTTTCTACTGAAATTATTGATGGATGATTTCCAAACTTTGTATGTAGCATTTTTAGATAGTATTTTATCAAGTTTGCTCATATTAATTTGATTGATCCCTTTTACGGGGCCACTAAATCTGTAAATAGAAATACCTTTAATCGTCTATTTCTACAGAACTAATTGATGGATGATCACAAAACTAGGTCTGTAGCATTCTTAGGTAGTCTTTTATCAAGTTTGCTCATATTACTTTGATTGGCCTCTTTTACGGGTCTCTAGAGCTAAAATAGGAAAACCTTTCAACGTCTATTTCTACAGAACTAATTGATGGATGATCACAAAACTTTGTCTGTAACATTCTGAGGTTTCTGAACAAGTGGTCCATTTTAGAAATTGACCTGGAAAACATCATAACAACTTTCTGCGAATTTCCAGAATTTGTTTACAAGAAAAGTAGTCCCTAAAGTGTCAAAAGGTTTTTCCAATATTTAAGCTGTGTGACCTAGTCTTTGACGCAAGGTACACTTTATTCCAACTTGACCTAGAAATCACCATAACAACCTTATTGACCAATTTCAATGATATTTGGTTAAAAAAAGCCTCTAGAGTGTTGGCAATGTTTTTCCATATCTGGGCTGTATGACTAGTTTATCAAATCATCAAAACATACTTTCTTACCTATTTCCAGGATATTTGGATAAAACCAGCCTTTAGATTGTTAACAAGGTTTTTCTATATTTGGGCTTTGTGACCTAATTTTTGACCCCAGGTGACCCATATTTAAACTGGACCTAGAAAATATTAAAACAATTTTTCTGACTAAATTCCAGGACATTGGGATCAAAACAAAAGCCACTAGAGTGTTAACAAGACTTTTTCTATGTTTAGCTCCTGTAACCTAGTTTTTCATCCGAGATGACACGTGTTCAAATTCATCCGTGCAATTACATAGACAAGCATCCTGACCAATCCAAATTTCAAGTCTGTATGTCAAAAACAAGGAAAAAGGTCAAATGATATCAAAAATATCAAAATTATGTCAGCTGATGTGAAATTCAATTCAGCATAAGATACATGTATTACACCCCTGGTACAAATTTCATGTATGTACGTCTAAAAGGAAGAAAGAAGGTCAAATGGTATCAAAAAATATAAAGTAGGTCGGCTGCTGTCAAAATTCAATCCAGATCAGTAATTGCACCCCTGGTCCAAATTTTAAGTCTGTATGTCAAAAATGAAGAAATAGGGCAAATGTTTTCCAAAATGTCAAAAATAGGTCAGCTGTTAGAAAATTCAATTCAGCATGAATAAATACACTCTTGGTCCAAATTTCAAGCCTATACATCAAAAATCAAGAAATAAGGTCAAATGATATCGCATAAACATAAAGTAAATCACCATAAAAAATTACACCCTTGGTCCAAATTTCAAGCCTATAAATCAAAAAAGCAAGATATCAAATCAAATGATATAAATATATCAAAAGTATGTCAGCTGCATAAAAATTCAATTCAGCATCAGTAATAACACCCCTTGTCAAAATTTCATGTCTGTATGTCAAAAAGCAAGCAAGTAGGTCAAATTATATCAAAAATATAAAACGTTAGTCAATTGCTATCATAATTCAATTCACCATCAGAAATTACACCCCTTTTCCAAATTTCAAGTATAAATGTCAAAAAACAAGATGTAGGTCAAACTATATCAAAAATAACAAAAGTAGGTCAGCTGATATCAAAATTCAATACACCATCAGAAATTACACCCCTGGTCCAAATTTAAAGTATGTACGTCATATAACAAGAAAGTAAGTCACGTGGTATCAAAAATATCAGAAGTATGTAAGCAGATAACAAAAATCAACTTGGCATCAAAAATGACACCCCTAGTGCCAAGTCTGTATGAAAAAAGCAAGAAAGAAAATCAATTAGTTCTGTAGGAGACGTTTAAAGAGGTTTAACGGCCCCTCAAAAATGGGCAATCAATTTATTATTGACACACTTGATAAAAGACTTCCCAAAAATGCTAGAGACAAAGTCTGGTGATCAAATATCAATTAGTTCTGTAGAAGTCTACAGTTTTTTTTAATTTTTAGCTCTAGTGACCCCTTATAGGAATCAATTAAATTAATATGAGCAAAATTTGATAAAAGACTACCTAAGAATGCAAATACTAAAAGTAGGTCAGCATCAGAAATTACACCCTGGTCAAAAATTCAAGTATGTATGTCATAAAACAGGAAAGAAGGTCAAGCCATATCAAAATTATCACAAGTAGCTCAGCTGATATCAAAAATCAAGTTGGTACAGAAATTACATCCCTATTCCAACTTTGTAATCTGTATGTCAAAAAATCAAAGGGGAAGAGCAAATGATATCAAAAATATCAAAATCAGGTCAGATAATATCAAAATTCAATTCGGCATCACCTATTTCACCCTTGGTAAAAAATCCATGTCTGTAGGTCAAAAAAAAGCAAGAAAGTAGATCAAATACTCTCAATTATATCAAAAGTAGATCAGCTGATATCAAAATTCAATTTGGCATGAAAAATTACACCCCTGGTCCATATTTTGTCTGTATGTCAAAAAACAAGAAAGAAGGCCAAATGGTATCAATAAAAGTACGTCAGCTGATATCAAAATTCAATTTGGCATCACAAATTACACCAAAGGTCCAAATTTCAAGTTTATACATAAAAAAAGTAAGTCAAGCGATATGAAAAATATAAAAATTAAGTGAGCTGATATCAAAATTCGATTAAGCATCAGTAATTACATCCCTAGTCAAAATTTATAGTTTGTACATCAAAAACGAGAAACTAGGTCAATTTATATCAATAATATCAAAAGTAGGTCAATTGATATCAAAATTAAATTTGCCATTCCTGGTACACCAAAACACAAGGAAGTAGGTTAAATGATTTCAAAAATATCATTAAAAGCTTAACTGGTATCAAAATTCAATTACGTATATGAAACAGATATCAGGTTCAAAATGAAAAAAATATGACAATTTTCACAAAATTCAATATAAAAATTTGAGCATACAAACTCATCTTTGTAAGTAAGGTACAAGAAACAAATGTAATCTTTCTTTATGCCTTATTCTAATTTTCCTGAAGAATTCTCTACACTTACCTACAACTGACCCTGCAGAAAGATTAATACTATGATGCAATCATGTCCAAAATCTTATGCTGAATGTTATTTACCCAAATAGAATATGATTTCATTTTACTGTTTAAGTAACTGTGGTGTTATGCAACATACCAAATATCTTAGGTTTAGACATTATATTCTTGGATATATAATTTCCCTAGATACCAGCTTTAGGTCTTGCACTTTCATAGAAGGAGTTTCTTTAAGTGTTTACTATATGTACATAATTAAAATCCATGACCCCCGGTGCGATGCAAAATTTGACCCCAGGGCTATAATTTGAACCATTTGGTAGATGTCTATTACACAATGATTCATGGCTAATATCTAACCTTTAGCCTTTGTAAAACAGAAAAGTTGATTTTTTATGTTTTTTACTATATACATATAAAAAATCAATTACCCCTAGGGCAAGGCCACTTTTGACCCTAGGGCTATAATTTGAACAATTTTTGTAGAGTTTCATAGATGATGCAACACAAAAAATATATCTAAGCTTTAGCCCGTGAACTTTCATAGCAGCAGATTTTTTAAAGTTTTTAATATATGTACATAATAAAAGTCAAAGACCACCAGGGCGAGGCCAATTTAAACCCAAGGACTATAATTTGAACAATTTTTGTAGAGTTTCATAGATGATGCAACACAAAAAATATATCTAAGCTTTAGCCCGTGAACTTTCATAGCAGAAGATTTTTTAAAGTTTTTAATATATGTACATAATAAAAGTCAAAGACCACCAGGGCGAGGCCAATTTAAACCCAAGGACTATAATTTGAAAATTTTCTATAGAGTTTCATCAGATGATGCTACAAAAAATATCTAAGCTCTAGACCTTGCACGTTCAGGGCAGAAGATTTTTAAAAAAAAATATTATATATATACTCCAGGGCGGGGCTAATATTGACACCAGAGCTGTAATTTGAACAATTTTTATAGAGCTTCATGAGATGATGTTACACACAAAATATTTTAGCTTGATGCCTTGCACTTTCAGAGAAGAAGATTTTTAAAGATTTGATTCCAAAAATATATTTTAGCCCTCCTTACCTAAATGTTCAACTGAGTGGAACCATTTAAAAATTTTAGTACAGCTTTATGCTACGAATATAATTTTATCAAGGTTGACCAAGTGGTTTCTGTGAAGAAGTCGTTTGTATAAAAAGTTGATGACGGACGCACTGACAGACGACGGACGCCAGACAAATTGTTATCACAAAAGCTAATAATGCTATATCAAAGTTTGTTTTCCTTATAAATAAAACAAAAAGTTACAGGGATCTTTTTGGTTCATAAATGTAAAATTAAAAAAAAAGGTTTTAAAAAGGGCTAAAGTTTGAGGAAAGAAACCGACATAACATGTTATTTCATTTCAGGTGAGGTTGATGGTAGAGTTTTGTTTCATTCTCCTTAAATGGGTGTCAAATAGCAAGTGCCTTCTCGAGGTTTCAAAGGTAAAAGATAATAACTGCCATTATTGCCGAAAATGACTTTTTTATGTTTTTAGCTCACCTTGCACATAGTGCAGGTGAGCTTTAAGGATGGCCAATCAAATGCGTCCTTCGTCCGGCGTCCGTCCACATATTATTCAAACGACATCTTCTATAATACCACTTGGCCAATATTAATGAAACTTGGCAGGAATACTCTTTGTATGAAGCTCTATCAAGATTGTTCAAAGAATGCCATTCCATGCTCTGGTTGCTATGGCAACTAAAAGAAAAAACTTAAAAGTTATTATACATCAAAATGGAAAGGGCTAGAGCTTAGATATTTCTCACAAGGCATAAGCTTGTTGGTTTCTACAAAGTGTATTCAAATTATGGTCTAGAGTTGAAAATTGGTCTCTGTTTTGGGGTTTTAAGGTTTTTTTTATTGCAAGTATATATAGACTGTCTTTGTAGGGATAAATTGAGATAGTGTATCTTGTATTTTTTGTCTCAACAGACATTGTTATGAAGATTTTTCTATTCAAACATTAGAAACATGAAAATGTTGTTGAATGGGAATGTTAATTCAAAACAAAGTCAATCAGAATAGCACAAATTTGAGAGCTACAGTGAAGTTGATTTCCCCATTCAATAATGGATTCTTCCATCAATTTCGTAACACCATCAGAAAGGAGACTGTGTCATTTCCGAAATACAATGTAAAATATTTCGGTTTATGACATTGATTTGAACATTTTATTGTGCAAGATATTGCACAAAGAAACGTAAGTGAACAAAAAATGTTGTATTTTTTCACAAAAATCAGCTGATTAAGATAAAAGTTTAATTTACAGTACGGATATTACTTTAATACATCCTTCCGGTTTGTGGGAAAATGTGTACACCGGTCTTACTGATGAACGAATTATGTCATAATATTTCATTCTGAGAACAAACATACAGTTCAAATCATCAAATAATGCATATCAAATCAAATCAAATCAACAATTTTGCCTCAGAAAACATCTGTATCAATCTGACCTATAAACAAAACTAAACCGGAAGTTTTACAAAATGGCGGACTTGCACAAGGAAATTTAGAAATTTTGTAACATAAACTCGTATTTCAAAACAAAGAAGCGAAGATGAATACAATTATCGGTGTGCTTCGTTGAAACAGGTATTTTGTTAATTATTTGTGAAGTATTAAGGCATGACATTCAGTATTTATGTAAATATCACCTTCCGTGATATGATTACTAAAATTATACATGTACACATGTGTTATTGACCTCAATAAATGTAAGTGAAAATGGAACAATTATTATGGTAATTATACATGGTGCTAGAAATACTTAATTATCTTTATCATATTGTTAACTAAGCAAGAAGCCTATGATTTAAAAATTACCTAACCTTACAATAGTTATCAATTTAAACTGGAAAATCTACTCAAAATGACTTCCCAAACAGAAATTTTTGAAAATTAAAATGATTCATGTAGAAAAATAACACAAGAAAATACTGATTTGACTCATGAAAAATTTGGCTAAACAGTCTGCCACGTGAAATTCTGACCTTCCTGAGATCCCTGCTGTTTGTTGTTGTTTTTTTTTTATAACATTTTACAAGATTTAATCTTACGATTAAACCTGTGTATAGAGCCACTCATGTGAACAGGAAGAAGTTTTTGTAGAAAGGGGTGTCCTTATATGATAAACCACAGATGCTTGGGAGTTAGAACCTGTCTACAACATGATACCCCTGAGTAAACACTATCAAAAAATATTTTGATATTTAAACACTAATGGGATATCTGTTACGACTATAGTTCTGGTTTTCAAAAAGAATTTACATAATTATTTGCAAAAAAAAATACTGTTTACCATCATTTATTGAGACTTGATTCCAGGCAGGCGAATTGGGCCATTTTTGTCCAACAGTTTTCTCAGCAAGTACTTATCAGAGCCTCATAATATTTAGTAAACAGCATTAACACATTGTCCCATACAATGGAATTCGATTTTAGGTCTGTCACTCATCCACATCAAGTTTACTGACTTAGTTAAATTCATAATAATGGTCAATGGTAGGAATTTTTCGTAACAATTTTCTCAGCATCTACTCATCACAGCCTCTTGATATTTGGTATACAGCATCAACATGTAGTCACATACAATGGGATATGAGTTCAGGTATGTGGCTCATCCACTTCCCGTTTGCTGACTTAGTTAAATTTTCAGCATTAATTGTAAATGGAAGGAAATTTCCGTAACAGTTTTCTCAGCAACTACATATCACAGACTCTTGATATTTGATATTTGGTATTGTGACTGCATTAACATGTGGTCCCAAGTTCAGGTCTATCGCTTATCCACTTCATGTTTATCGACTTAGTTAATAAGTTAAACTTAAATGTTCGACATTTTAATGGTCAATGGTAGAAAATGTTTGTAACATCACAGCCTCATGAGTCATGTTATTTGGTATACAAATGCAACCCGGCCATTTTTGTCTTTGACCCATTTTTATTGAAGTATTATCCAAATTTGTACTTCGTCTTGTTAATTATGATGTCATTGTTAAATATTCATGATGTAAACACGCTACAGCAACCTATACTTTAAAGAAAAGAAAAAAGAGGTATTTCTATACACTTGTTTGCATTCCTGTTGATGTTGGCCAAAAATACTTTACATTTGACACAAACCTTAAAATGACATTAAAGAATTTTATAAACCTCAAACTGTTGCTTGTTTTAAAAAAGAAAAATATTTTTAAGATCTATTCCTTAAGGTGAGCGATATAGGGCTATCATGGCCCTCTTGTATATAATTTACTTATTGTCCTTAATGTCTGACGAAAATATTATAGAAATATTCAATCCTTATAAGGGCAGAACATTAAAAAGTATTTTGTAACAACTTCTTTTCTACAAATTATGTAGGGGTTAAAGGTTCTAAGTGTACTTATTACCTGTTGTTTCACATATTGTATAGAATATGTAGTGGGAAAAGGTTATAATTGATTTTATCATCTTTTTCCTCTGACAGAATACTGCATTCATACAGTTCACAGCCCATATCTGTTATCTCTTTTCTCAAGAAATTTCTCACGCTCATTGTTTACTTAACATTTAATCATTTAATTGCTGCAAATATTTAGTACATACTGGTCAATGGGTGATTACAAAAATCAAAGGCAATTCATTTGTTTCCATGTTGCCAATAAAGAACCAGAGCAGTATCTAAACAGAGAACAAAACAATAAACTATTTCGAATTCGTTTTTCTTCAAAATTGGCTGCAAAATGGTTAGAGTGTGCAAATACTTTTTTCTTAAAACTCTCTAAAAACTATCAATGTCGGTTCCAAAACAGTTGCAAACGTAGTTAAGCACCAAGTGGCAGGGTTAAATGTTTGAAATGACAAGAGAGGGAAAGCTGTGTCTGGAAATAAAACCACGCAATATCACAGATCATTGTAAAGAAAAACATCGAAAGCTTTCCAACTGTTGAATCACACTACACACTACACACGAACAGAAGTGACATTATATAGTGATACATGTGGGAGACAGAATCGAAATCACTTTTTTGCAAGTTGCTTAGTTCACTGTGTCCAAGACATTCCTCACATCAAGTGTATATACCACAAATTTTTCGAAAGTGGCCATTCAGAAATGGAAGGTGATTCCAAACATGCATCTATCGAGCATGCAAAAAGCCTCTCAAAGGTACATGTTCCATCTCAGTGAGAAACAGTTATATCATTAGCACGCCGGAAGCAACAATATATTGTCGTTCCAATAAAATACGCTGACATACTAGATTACAAGTTGTACAAAGAACAAACCTTTGGCTCAATGAAAATCGATGTTGATGGAAAACGTGTTAATTGGCTAAATATAAAATGGATTCATGTTCGTAAAGACAAAGAATACAGTATTTTTGTGAACTATGGTTTTGATGTTAGTGAGTTTAAGGAAGTTAGGTTAATGCAGAAGAAGAGCAGAAGCAAAGAAAAGTCTCTTAAGGCTCCACGAAAGGCTTATTAACACTATTAAGTGTTGAGAATTGAGTATCGCTCAAGCCGGTGCTAGGGGGTCGTGAGAGATGTTGCACTTATTCATTATCCCTCATGTACAGACTCAATCAAACCGAGTCTGCAATTCTAATGTAATTTTGTTGTGATTAATTCTTCCGAGGGATCACTTTGTTTCCAGATCTTTATACTTCACAACAGCAGGTGTCAAGTGCCGTGTGGCAGCCGTAAAAAGTTGCCCCGTACTTCACTTCAGTGTTGTTATATTTTTCTGGTCCTTCGGGATAATTGATGCCAGCACTATTAAGTGTTGAGAATTGAGTACCGCTCAAGCCGGTGCTAGCGGGCGTGAGAGATGTTGCACTTATTCATTATCCCTCATGTACAGACTCAATCAAACCGAGTCTGCAATTCTTATGTAATTTTGTTGTGATTAATGCTTCCGAGGGATCACTTTGTTTCCAGATTTTTATACAGATGTTTCCAATATCTGCTGCAAAAAAGCTGATTTGATGTCACTTGTTGCCTCTGGGACATTTCCGAAGGAGTACGAATCATACTATGAGTCATTAAGACTATGAGACAAACTTCCAGTGCCTTATCTTAGTGAGAGTGAAGAAGATGAGTGAAGGTCATGGAATAATTAATGACAAACATTCACATTTTGTGACATGAAACAGTAGTCTTTATTTACTTAACTATGATAAGGGTCACTAATATCTGATATATTGGGTCTGTTTGACTTCAGTTTGATTATTTACCAGAGAAAATTCTAAATAAATGAAAATTTGTAAACTAAGATTTTATTGCGTATTTTCCTAACTTTTTAGTTATCAATTTATTTCTGTAAAATCTAAATATTGAGCAGGTACATACTTCATATTTCTATGAATGAGTTTTGTGTACGAGTATTATTGTGCATGTGACATTACGTAACGTTCTTCAAAGTAAAGACATAATTGATAAATTTGCAACAGTAACA